ATAAAAACAAAAAAATGGGTAACAATTTACAGGTACCTATAGAAACTTGTGACTCGCGGGTCACGGAGTGATCGTCTGTATGACTCACGGTCACGGCGCGATCGTCGTCATGACTCCGCGGTCACGGGGTTATCGTCGGTATGACTCCATGGTCACGGCGCAATCGTCGTCATGACTCGCGGTCACGGCGCGATCGTTGGTATGACTCCGCGGTCACGGGGTTATCGTCGGTATGACTCCACGGTCACGGCGCGATCGTCGTCATGACTCGCGGTCACGGCGCGATCGTCGGTAGGACTCGCGGTCACGGCGCGATTGTCGGTAGGACTCCGCGGTCACGGGGTTATCGTCGGTATGACTCGCGATCACGGCTCGATCGTCAGCATGACTCCGCCATCACGGCATGATTATACTGATCGTTAGTATGACTCCGCGGTCACGGCACGATCGTCGGTAGGACTCCGCGGTCACGGCGCGATCGTCGGTAGGACTCCGCGGTCACGGCGCGATCGTCGGTATGACTCGCGGTCACGGCGCGATCGTAGGTATGACTCCGCGGTCACGGCGCGATCGTCGGTATGACTCGCGGTCACGGCGCGATCGTCGGTATGACTCGCGGTCACGGCGCGATCGTCGGTAGGACTCGCGGTCACGGCGCGATTGTCGGTAGGACTCCGCGGTCACGTCGTGATCGTCTGTATGACTCGCCATCACGGCATGATCGTCAGTATGGCTCCACGGTCACGGCGCGATCGTCGGTAGGACTCCGCGGTCACGGAGCGATCGTCTGTATGACTCACGGTCACGGCGCGATCGTCGTCATGACTCCGCGGTCACGGGGTTATCGTCGGTATGACTCCATGGTCACGGCGCGATCGTCGTCATGACTCGCGGTCACGGCGCGATCGTTGGTATGACTCCGCGGTCACGGGGTTATCGTCGGTATGACTCCACGGTCACGGCGCGATCGTCGTCATGACTCGCGGTCACGGCGCGATCGTCGGTAGGACTCGCGGTCACGGCGCGATTGTCGGTAGGACTCCGCGGTCACGGGGTTATCGTCGGTATGACTCGCGATCACGGCTCGATCGTCAGCATGACTCCGCCATCACGGCATGATTATACTGATCGTTAGTATGACTCCGCGGTCACGGCACGATCGTCGGTAGGACTCCGCGGTCACGGCGCGATCGTCGGTAGGACTCCGCGGTCACGGCGCGATCGTCGGTATGACTCGCGGTCACGGCGCGATCGTAGGTATGACTCCGCGGTCACGGCGCGATCGTCGGTATGACTCGCGGTCACGGCGCGATCGTCGGTATGACTCGCGGTCACGGCGCGATCGTCGGTAGGACTCGCGGTCACGGCGCGATTGTCGGTAGGACTCCGCGGTCACGTCGTGATCGTCTGTATGACTCGCCATCACGGCATGATCGTCAGTATGGCTCCACGGTCACGGCGCGATCGTCGGTAGGACTCCGCGGTCACGGAGCGATCGTCGGTATGACTCGCGGTCACGGCGCGATCGTCGGTATGACTCGCGGTCACGTCGTGATCGTCTGTATGACTCGCCATCACGGAATGATCGTCAGTATGACTCCACGGTCACGGCGCGATCGTCGGTAGGACTCCGCGGTCACGGCGCGATCGTCGGTATGACTCGCGGTCACGGCGTGATCGTCGGTATGACTCGTGGTCACAGCGCGATCGTCGGTAGGACTTCGCGGTCACGGCGCGATCGTCGTTATGACTCCGCGGTCACGGCATGACTGTCGGTATGACTCCGCGGTCACAGCCCGATCGTCGTTATGACTCGCGGTCACGGTGCGATCGTCGGTCCAATAATCGCGGCCACGGCGCGATCGTCGTTATGACTCTGCGGTCACGGCGTAATCGTCGAAATGACTTCGTCTCCTGCGTTCGCGGACCTATCGCTCGCAATAACGGCGTTATCGGCACTCGCGAAGCGGAAAAATCGCCGACGATCGGACCAAATCCCGTCCCGAAAAATTCCCGAGTCAAATGTAATCCCGTCCCGATAATCGGGAATATTTTTTTCCCGAAAAATTCCCGAAATTTCGGGACCCGTCCATCCCTAAAAAAAATCAATTTCAAATAAAAAAAAAATTTTACTGCTTAGTTTTTTTGCAAAACGTAAATTGCAAACTTTTAATTCAAAATAAAAATTTAGAAATTTAAAAAAACTAAGTTTTTTTGCGAAACGTAAATTGCAACTTTTTATTTAAAATTTCAAAAAATTAAAAATTAAAAAAAATTGCAAAGGCGTTATATTTATATATTTAATTATTTATTCTTTACAAGGAAATATTGCTTCAATCATTTTATATTTTTTTTGCATAGCAAATGAAAAGTTTTGTTAGTGTAAGCAGTGTGAGACATGTTTTACTACTGTAAACATAGCCAAAATAATTTACTCCAAAATCATTCTATTAATAACACAAGACTTAAAATTGTTACTTGATACTTAACTAGTAATACTGTTGTTTTTTATATTTTCCAAAGTTGAACTATATTTTACTAACTGACATCTCCATGTTTCCTATGCCGAAGAGTTATTTTTAATACGTTAGGCCTTATTAATTTCTTTTATATACTGATGTTTTTATTGATGTTTTCAATAAAAGAAATTAAATATTTTTGTCTATTTTTTGCCAAGTTCTTAAAACTTGTAAATATATCTGAACTTAAAAAGTAGATATTAATTTTTTTATAACTTTTCATTAAATCTCGTCCCGAAAAAAAATCTCGTCCCGCGGGAATTAAAAAAATCTCGTCTCGTCTCGTCTCGAAGTGAAAAATCTAGTCTCGTCCATCACTAATAAAAATGCGACCAATGACTGAATCATGACAATATCAGACGTCTGGGATATAGACCGACTGGATCAAAGCCTCTGCAGCAGCCCGCCCGATGTGCGAGAGCCACTCGCCGATCATCCGCTTATAAACAGCAACACTGCAACATTCTTTTCAGTTTAAGACCCACAGATCAGGTGTTTGATAATATACAACAAAGTGTGAAATTTCTAGGCATGCATATTGATAACCAGCTCAGCTGGGAATCTCACGTAGATTATCTATCTACAAGATTATCTCGCGTTGTTTATCTAGTTAGAAGACTGATCTCACTTGTTGACAGTAGCTATGTAAGAATGTCCTATTTCGTCTTTTTTTTAAGTATTTATCGCTATGGCTTGATATTTTGGGGAAGCAGTTAAGGAATTCAGGATATTTTACTGATTCAGAAAAATATTGTTCGAATTATAAGTAATGAACATTCTGATACTCATTGTAAATCTCTTTTTATTAAACTTGAATTCCAAACAGCTATTTATTTGTACATATATATGATATCATGGTTTACAGCCTTAAAAAATTACCGTTTCAAACTTCATGTAACGAGATCCATAGTCACAATACGAGAAGCAATTTAAATATTAAAAGAAGTTTTTTCAGATTAAATTTGACTGTAAAAAGCCACATAGTGATGTCACGGATAATATATAACTAACTCAGTAAAATTGTTCAATCATATCCAACTCACTCAATGTTTTCAAAACAATTTTATAATTGGCTTTTAAAAAATCCCTTTTATTTCTTCTCAGAGTTTTTAGAGAAGCACAGCTGACGAGACGCCACCCCATGCCAGGACACCGTATTGTAACACCGACTGCACATAGGCATAATACACCATCCTGCAGTGATCCACCGTCAGCACCTGGCCCAGCTGATCGAATGCATTTACTAATTTTCTAAGCCTCTGCTTGACATACCACACGTGAGGAACCCAGCTTAGTTTTTCGTCCATTTATGCCCAAATATTTGTATTGTATTGTGACACACGTTTGATGACGTTACAGTCACAGTCACGAGACGCCGGATCACCACAGGAGTGCTAACGTAAATGACGCGGGCTCGGATTACTCTCCTTCTTTAAAAAAATTGGAAGACATTTAGTTTTTGTTACATTTAAAGTTAAAGAATTATGATCCAACCAATTTTTAAACTTAAGTAGGTCGGACGATGCCCGCTCATACACCTCATCATGGCCTGTAGTCACCACAGCCGTATCATCTGCAAACAAGAATAATATGCTTCTTGTTTCTAGTTTTGATATATTATTTATATAAACCAGGAAGAGCAAAGGCCCAAGATTGCTTCCCTGGACCACACCGAATTCAATGTTTCTTTTATTACAGTACTTGTAACACCATCGATTGTAACAACTTGCACTCGGTCTTTTAAATAACTTCTAAACCAGTCAATAGAGCTTGTCTAGTCCAAAAAATTCCAATTTGTTGATAAGTTTATGTCTACCAATAGAGTCAAAGGCTTTTGCTAAATCTAAGAAAGTCACCAGTACACGTTGTTTTGAGTTTAATTTATTTGATATAAAGTTATTAATATCAAACAATGCATGACCTGTGTGTGCTCTTACATGCTCTGAAGCCAAATTGTGAATCACTAATAATGTTTTCGTTTTCAAGTTAAAAAGATAATTTTTGCTTAACACATTTTTCAAGAATTTTAGATATTGCACCCAGCAATGAGATTGGTCTGAAGTTTGATGCAATGTTTTTTTTTTGCCAGATTTTTAAATTGGGGTGACTTTGGCAGTTTTAAGATTTTGGAAATTTACTGGACAGTATACTTAAGTTAATTATGTGCAAGAAGTTGCTATGTGCAAGTTGCTTTAAAAAAAAAATGTATATATTCAGATTCAACTCACGATATTTTTGTGGAATAGGAAGTTTTGACAGTCCAGCAGTTATTTTAATACACATGTACAAAAACTTTTGCTGTACAAATGGATCAGTAACTATGAGATAACTTTGAGATTTTCCTTTAAATTGCTTTGAGGAGTGTATTCATCACATATCATCATCCTAATCTGTTTTCAATCATCCTCCCCAAAACTTACCTTAACAATTTAGTTTAAATAGTTTTATTTCAAACATTGGTTCAAAGTGAAAAACAAAGTATAAAATTCTATCAATAACTTTATTTCATGACCTACAACAATAAACTTAATACAACTTACTATATACACATATATCGCAAAAACTCTTATAAAAATGTTACAAAATACAGTCTTTAAATACAATTTATACTAGAGATAACAAATTTACAAATCTGCAATTGTCAAGATTTTTAACAGGATGCAATAGTTATGAACGATATAATAATTTAATTGACTTGTCTGTTCAATAATTGGTCACCCTTAAATTAATTGTTCTGTTGTAATACTTAGCATGCAATCTCCTACCAAAGGTTTGAAGTCATAGAACTTAAGTATATTTAAAACTGTTCATAACTCTCACCACTCTTACCAGGTTATCCAGGTAAACTCTTGTTGATTGAGTAACATATTACTACTTGCAGCTAAGTTATAGTAGTCAAGATAGCAGCAAATCAGTAATAGTTTTGCAGTCATTTTACAACAGTCACAAAACAAATGAACTATTAACACTATTAAAACTTTTAATATCACCTATCCTTAAGTATAATTCGTTAACTTATTCCTTTAAAAATAGTAGTCAAATAGACTTATCTACCACCACAAATCTGAAAGGTTAATAACTTAGAATTGCACTTTTTACATTCTCTCTGTTTCAAATATTAATTTTACTAATATTTAAAGCTGTTTACAAAAAGTTTTACTTTTGCATTTTCAAACACATTTTATTTTTTTGTTTTACTTGTCTAACTGAGATAATTAAAGCTACAAATTTGACTACATATTGAAAAAATTTTAAACTGTAGGTGCAAACATTTAAGAACTACTCGTCTTTTTTAGCATGTGAAAGGACAAGACATACAAATTATAAGAACTGGTACAGATCTTCTGGATCTTGAAGGTCAAATCATGATTTTTAGGAGTATGTGTCAATATTATGAGTCATACATGGTTAGGAGACGTGGACTGTTATCCATTCATGACTCTTGACTTCAGGGAGCGGCAGACGAGCAGACGGCTTTACAACTAACAACTGAAAGAAAAATAAACTTGTAAGAAAATAGAACAAAATAGTACAGTGCCCATTGGCATTTGAAAAAAAAGGGCTTGCCAATGTTGATTGTGATGGGTTAAGGTTTCATTGTATTCATATTTAATATAAGATAATAGTAGGGGTAGGCAGATTCCAAAGTCAATTCTTGATTACACTAATTCTTTTCTTTGGAAGGGGATTTGAGAATCAACCGCCAAAAGTAGATTCCAATATCGATACCAGACACGTTTGCAAAAATCACAGTCGTAAAACTACTGATGTTGCCATGATCGTGTAAGACAATGATGACTTTTTATGGCCGTGGGAAATGTTCATAATTTTTCTGCGATTGCGGAAAACGATGATGATGTTCCGTTAATGCTAGGTTTGCCGTGACATGGGGAGACAATGACAAAGTCTACAAGATTGCAGGAAATATTAGGATTTTGCTGCGATCGTGGAAGATGATGATGTTTCCGTTATCGCAGGCGATATTCAAAGTTTTGCTGTAACCATGGGAGACAATGACAAAATACAGGACCGCAGAAAGTTATCAGGATTTTACTGTGACTGCGGGAAACAATGATGATGTCTACATGACCGCAGGAAATGATCTGAATTTTGTCTCTATTGTGGGAGAAGATGTAATGTCCACAGGATCGTATTTAATAACAACTTTGTTACTGAAATATCAGAACTTTTATAAAAATTAAATTATTTAATATTCTTAAATATACAAGGCATGTTTTTTAAGTAAGTACCTTTTTTAAATTTCTCCGTTCCAGCATTTTGGCATTTTGGACATTTGTACTCTGTATGTGCATCTATTGGCAAGCCTGCGTTGGAAATTTGGCAACAATCGGCTGTGTTTACATTCGGTGTAGAGCATTAAAAATTATGCTGCCAATTGAGACTGCTGCTGACTGTGAAGTGCGCGCTGTAATTAGATTTTTAAGTGCTAAAGGTGTGAAAGCCATTAAAATTCATCGACAGATTAGTGAAGTGTATGGCGAGAACATAAGGAAACTCATCAGATAATGATGAGATTGTAAACTGTCTGTCCGACGGTTACGGGTCTGTCCGATTTCTGGTGTGGATTAACGTCCGCACTAGTGAGTATTACGACTGTCCGCAGTACTATCCTGATAATTAGACCAATTCGTATATACCAAGGAAAAAATGTGGTTCGGATTCCACTATAAACTGTAGGTCCCTTAGTTGCCATTAGCTGTTTGGGCTATTAATTAACAGCTGTGTCTATGGAATGTCGGCCTTAGTCACTAACAAGACTACAAGATCGTGCCACTCATCCTACACTCATCTCCATTCATACTTGGCTTAAAATACCTACATTGTATGGTCGCCATTTCATAAGAACTTAGTACCAAAAGTTCTTAGTATCTAGATATCAAATTATAACTTAGTACCAAAAGAACTTAGCGGTATTTAAGTAAAGTATTAAAGTATTTAAGCATGTTAGATTGGTCATTGGAATTGAATGAATCATCAATAATATTACAAATCTTTTGGGAGTTGGGAGAGTTACACGGACGGAATTGTGGTTAATTTGGAATTTATTTCAGGTATTTAGAAGGTTTTAGAAGGATATTTAGAAGGATCAACTACAGAGGCATATCTCTCCTAAATGTCACCTACAAAATACTTCCCAAAATAGTTCAGAGAAGACTAGAGGAATACACAACAGATATTGTTGGAGAGCATCAAGCAGGATTCAGCAGAGGCAGATCAACGACGGATCAAATCTACATTCTTAAAGAGTCAATAGCAAAGTATTATGAGTTCAACAAATCATTCTGTTGCCTCTTCATTGATTTTTCAAAGGTTTATGACTCCATAAATAGAAATAAGTTGTGGATAAACATGGAGCATCTAGGTATACCAAGAAAACTTATAGAACTAGCAAAATTGAGTGTTTTAGGTTCTATGTGCAAAGTTAGAGTAAATGGAGATGTATCGGAAGACTTTGAGGTGAACACGGGTGTGAGGCAAGGAGACGAGGTATCTCCATTGCTGTTCAATTTAGCCATAGAAACAGCCCTTCAGGAGATAAGAAAGACAGAAGTAGGGATTAAGATAGGAACAAACATAAACTTGCTAGCTTTTGCAGATGACATAGTATTAATTACACATAATATAGAAGAAATGAAAGATGTAACAAAAATGCTTATTGAACATACAAGAAAAATGGGGCTATACATAAATGAAGAGAAAACCAAGTTTATGACATGTGGAAGAAAACAAGATGATGACCAACCAAGATACCAAAATAACAACTACATTGAAATTGAAGAGTATAAATTTAAAAAAGTAACAAATTTCAAGTATTTGGGAGTCATCCTCACCAGCGATAATGATGAAGAGCTAGAAATACAAAATAGATTAAACCTAGCACAAAAAAGTTTTTCGGCCTGTCACAAGTTACTAACTTCAAAAATAATATCCCACACCACCAAACTCAGGATTTATAAGACAATCATCAGACCAGTTCTCCTGTATGGTTCAGAAAATTGGATCTTAAGCAAGAAATCAGAAAGGAAAGCTATTGTATTTGAGAACAAGATTTTGAGGAAAGTGTACGGACCGATTTTTGAGGATGGACAATGGAGATCGAGACATAATTGGGAACTTAGAGAATTATTTAAGGATCCGGATATTGTCGCTGAGGTACGGAGCAGAAGACTGAGATGGGCAGGGCATATTCTAAGAAAAGACGACAACTCTGATTAATAACATCTGAATCTGAATAATAATTTTTATCAAAACCCTAGTATCAAAAGTTACATTCAACGCTTAATGCTTACTAAGAAAGAACCAGGGAAGCTCAATAAAAACAGGAAATGCATGTTAAAGCTCAAAGGTCAAAGGCTGAAGACCAAGAACTGGAGAGGATTCACTTCACTTCTGTATGACTAACTGTGAGTATAGCAAGAGTAAAATGTGCACTTGTTCGGGTTAATATTTTTCCCCTAAAAATATATAATATTTACATGTAAATATTACTTTAATTATTTTATCATTTGAGAAGTTTTGTTAAGTGTAAGCAGTTTGAGGCATATTTTACAACTATAAACAAAGCCAAAACAAGTAACTATTTTATATAAATAAATATTGCTTTTATTTTATGATTTATTTTATTTTAGGATAAGTTTAACTCTATCCTAACTGATATCACCATGTTTCCTAATCGTAAGCATTTTTAATAAGTTGGGTGTAATAAATATATTTTTTTTTGTGCTGATGTTTTTTAATAAAAGATTTTAAATACTCTTGCCTATTATTATTATTTTTGTATTTAAACAGTCATCAAACAATGTTACAAAATCAGGTAAAAATGTTGAACGAGCATATCCCGTTGTGTATGAGAAGGGAAATCCCGTCTCTATCTCGTCTCGAAATTTTATGAGAAAAAAATATCTCATCTCGTCTCGTCTCTAACTAAAAATCCAATCTCGCCCATCCCTACTTTCTACAATGGTCACCATGAAGCCCTGAATTAGCTGAACAGTTCGTGGGGTCTCATATCTAATGATGTCATCTATATATATAAAATCCAATCGTATGTATGTTTGTTAGTCCTTTATGGACTCCAAAACCGCTCGACAGATTGTAATGAACCTTTCAGGCATTATTAAGCATTATTCAAGGATGGTTTGTGTGAAGTTTGGTGCAGATCCGCCAAAAGGGCTCCGCCCCAGTGGCTCTGGAGTTCCCCATGTTAACCTTATGAGTACTCATATTTAAATGGAATTAAAGAATCTTAACAGCTGGTTCAACTAAACAATTTGATTCTGTGATGCTCAATAGCATTAAAAAGTATAAAGGTTTACCAACAGGGTACAGCACCATTATTTTTTTTTTTTTATTTAAATGACAACAGCTAATTTGCAACCAAAAGCTGAATTTTTCAAGATCCGGATCCGGATTGGATCCGCCCATCACTACTTTTATTTATTATATTGTAATGTTGCTACTTTATCACATACTACAGAATAAACCTAAAGTATAATGCTAAGACCAAAAAAAACTCAATATCAGTATACCTTTTTGATCAAATCTCTGGCAAGCGGTGAGACGTGAGGAGGAAATATGAACAACGATCGCTGGATGCGGTAGTACGTCTCATCGTAGGACTTGGTCTCAAAAGGAGGTTTCCCTGTGACCAGCTCAAAGCACAGCACCCCGAGACTCCATAGGTCTACGTTAGCATCATGAGGTTGTCCTGACACCATCTCTGGGGGTAAATAGTCCAGTGTTCCACACAGGGTGTCTCTCCTATCAGTAAAGAACCATAAATTATCTTTGGCCAAGAGACAGTGACAGTTTGATAAAGGTAGCTGCGCGTCAATCATCTTAGATCATACTTGGAAACAGATAGGAAAGCCCGATCTTTTGTTAAGTATATAATCTTAACAAAAGATTTTTAAAGATTATAAAGAAGTTTATAACCTTTAAAAAACACGCCGACCAACTAAAACATACAAAATTTCTTGGAGACAATGACAGTAGTTCAATCTCGGCGAAAAGGTGAAGTGTTCGTGCTTCTTGTCTGTATCAAATTCACAGCATTTATTGCCATATGTTAAAATAACAAGATTGTTTACTTTTTGTTGTCAGTTAGTTTTTACATTAATAAAATATAGTTTTGTTTTACTAAATGTTGTACTTTTTAATTGTATAAGTGAATAAACGTTTTTTGTTGCAAAACTAAGTTGTTAGCTGACATTAACACAATGGCAAACTTACTTGGAAGACGGTGCATGGACAGACCAGCCAAAGTCAGCAATTTTCAGTTCCCCTTTTGCTCCCAGTAAGATATTTTCTGGCTTGATGTCTCTATGAATCACTTTCTTCGCGTGACAATATTGTAGTGCATCTGCCAATTGGAGAATCAGTTGCGCAGCTCTGGAGACATGTATTGTCAATTAGGGAGGAGAGTCTAATGATTAGTCAGAATATAATGGTGAAGCGATAAAAAAGTAATTAGTCAATGGTACAACCTAGTTAGGATGGCAAAAGGTCAGTAGTATTTAACCAGACTGATGATATTATGGACATTGGTGATATGACATCAGCCGCCTGCACTGTCTAATTTAATAAAAGACAATTCAATCAACCAGGAGGAGCCATTAAGAGTCTTTTTCACCCCTGTGGAAACACTAAAAACATGCTGGATTGTTAATAAAGATTGTTACAAATTTCTTTCCCTACATATTAATGTTGGTTCTAGAGCCCATGTTGGTTTTAGTGACCAAGCCTCAGGATGGTTACAACTTTCCCAACATATAAAATTCATCTAGTTGTTACCATCTAGTTGTTTCAATGGTAACATATGAAATTCGTCTAAACCTTCCAAACATTTGACAAAGCAACCTTGGTAAGTTTGGCTAAAATATGTTCCACCGTTATTGTGTTAATGTGTTAGAAAGTTTGCATTAAAGTCGTTCCCAAAGAGCTTCGCTTCGCTCCACTCATTACTAAATGGACTAATTAATTTTAATCACATTTCTTCAGAGAATATTCTCAAACGTTCAAATAATCGTTCAGAATGACAGCTATGGGTTCTACCTAATGATAAAGAGAAAATGATCAGTATGGAACATAATTAAAACTTGTTCGTAGGAACTTGAAAAAAAAACTTATTAAAACTAAAAAAAAAAAACTTAAAAAATTAAAACTTGATTTATTTTATTTTAGGATAAGTTGAACTCTATCCTAACTGATATCACCATGTTTCCTAATCGTAGGCATTTTTAATAAGTTAGGCGTGATTAATAAAAAAATGTTATGCTGATGTTATTTAATGAAAGATTGTAAATATTCTTGCCTATTGTCATTATTTTAGTATTTAAACAGTCATCTAACAATGTTACAAAATCAGGTAAAAATTTCAAACGTGCATTTCCCGTTGTGTATGAGAAGAGAAATCTCGTCTCGAAATTTTATGAGAAATAAAAAATCTCGTCTCATCTTGTCTCGAACTAAAAATCCAATCTCGTCCATCCCTACTTGTACGCGATATGGTGGAAGACCAAATTACATTTTCTTACCGCCAAGTACACTGTAACCTTTCCCGAGAGGCAGCGCAGGTGTTCAAATAGTTTCAACCCTTCAAATAGTTAGCGAAATGATAAAGAGCGACGTTTCCTCTCAAGACTATCTGTTTCTTTCAAGGAGGTCATTGGGAAAATGTACCAAACCAGAAACCAAAACCTGCCATATCGGACTATTAGAAGAGGGGGTGTGTTTTATATTTCTATATAGGTCTTTAAATATTTGTAATATAGTTATTTTTATATTTTTTGTCATTGCAGCTTCTGATTTAGCTCGAAAAAAATAAATATACCTATTTTGATTTATTGCTCTATGATCGTTCGTTACTGAGGTATTGTGAGGTTAACACTTTACAGTGTCCCAATTTTATTTGTCCTATTGGTAATAAGTGCCAATAAAAAATTTCATAAATATAGTTATTTCTTGACACATCTTAATTAAACTCGGCATGTTACTTTATCTAGATAAGATATTCTGTATACTACCTTAAAAAGCTTCATTCAAAATTTTATTGGCAGGAAACCTGCATATTCACTTCCTGTATGTTATTCTTATGACTACTTATTCTTATGAATTTTTCTATGCTAACTATTTGTTACACAATATACCAGCAAATATTGAAAATCATTGAATTTAAAACTAAACATCGACTGTTTAGTGTTGAGGATGACTGGTCAAATGAAATAAATTGTAGATAAACTGATGTATACGAATTGGGAACAATTTTTAGTGATATGTACTTAAAATGTAATTGTATGTATTTTTGTTGTTTAAAAAAATATAAAATTTGCAAGTCACTGTGTTTTATGTACTCATGATTTAGATGTTAATGCCTATCATAAAATCTGTTTTAAAAACCAGGAAATGAATAAATAGGAATATATGTCTTACTGAGTTAGAGACATTAGGCCAACTGAATAATTTACAACTTGTCACGCTCTAATTCACACTATACGATTTCGCTCTTACGAGGGTTAATCAAACCGTGCGGCACCGATGGAAGGTAGGTCATGAATATAGTGGGATAGTGTGTTCCAGAGTTAGCCAATTCCAAAACCAAACAAGTTAGTGAGTTCCTCTCATTGACCAAATTTGAAGATTGTGCATTTAACATGGGGTTAGCGAGTTCCAGAGTTAGCCAAATCCATGGAACCCCAATGACTATGACCACATTCTGAAACTCCACATCACAGCTAGATGAAAATATTTGTGATAATCATATTGGACCGTTTGAACAAAATAATGATTACCTTGGCTCATCAAATCTCTTCTCTGGCTGGGCTTGAAGCTCCTTGTACAGTTCACCCTTGGGTGCGTACTCCAAAATCATATAGACTCGTGTCTCGTCGTGGAAGTAGCCAAAGAGTCTCAGAATGTTAGGATGCCTGGAAAAATTGAATATTTTAATTTTACAAGGTAAGATTAAATAGTTTTCTGGTTTTTTAAGGTACCGTATTAATAGGCAATGCCTTTATTGGTCAAGTATTTACAATTACAATACAAACCTCGATAACCCGCATCCTCCAGTAAACCAGCTCGATCCCTTAAAAAGAAATCATCCTAAAAGAAATAGTGAGTAGCCTATATAATTTCATATTCAGGCGTATTAACTATAAATATAAGAACAAATGAGAACAACACTTTTTTTAGCTAACTTCAACTTCGAACAACCCAGAAATTTTCAAATCATGTGTGAGCAAATATAGATTCCTGCAGAAAGATTTTTAGATGTTTTAGGTCCGTTGCAGAGTCTAAAGAAACTGCTTTCAGCAATTCAGGCATACATACTTGCCACCCGCTCATAAAAAAGCTCATCGCTCCTAGACTGCAATCATTTATTGTTATTATTGATTGACATTGTCAGTCGCTACCCTTGGCTCGGGCAGATAGCATAAAATCAAATTCTCTTTCATTTTGTTCGTACATACATGATAGTGTCATAAAATAGTTAAACCTTCTATTTAAAAGAGAAGGTATATCCTACTCTTTTCAGGGAGGAGGGAAAATGCCTTTACGCACACAGGTGGCCAGCCTGTCGTGTGAGACTCCTGAATTTATCAGACTTCAAACTAAAAAACCCTCTCTATACTGTTGGACACAGACCTAGAATTTTTTGTCACATTACTTCAAATCAGAACAACATGTGATCTAAGCCCTAAGGGCTCTCACAGTTTCTGGCATTTAGATTCTTTATGACCTACACCGCATCCCAGTCAAAGTCGAGCTTATTGGCACAGAGAATACCCTGGATGAAATGTGACACACAGGTCATATTATCCTCACCCTCAGTCATCATCGGGATGACCGTGTCAACCATTGTAGTCTTCATTGTGTTGAGCCTCCAGGCAGAGGAACAAAAGTATGTTCCGTGTCGTAGGGATTTTCAGGGCAGTAGATCAGACAGGGACACGGCTTTCAGGCTAAACATCCCAGGTTTAGTTCCAAATTCTGCCACCACGTCGCAGCACCAAAATGGAGTCATTTTGTGTTGGTGTTTATTGGTGGAATTTTCATCCGATTTTCATTTTGAAAACTGATTTGTGAACCGGATAAGATAACAATTCACGCCATTGAAAATAAATTTGAATTAAGTTGCTGGTTAAAAAAATTATGGTAAAATAATTGTGTTACAAAATGAAAAATGAAAATTGCAGGTAGTCATTTTAAAGACAATAATTTTTAATTAATTTTGCTTTTTAAATTTTGAAAATCGCTTGGCTGGTTCAGTCGGTATCGTTGTTTAAACATTTACAGTAATTATAACAAATGCAAGAGAGACATGAAGCAGGTGCAGGACAGGGCCGCTGTGACTCATTCCAAGGTCACACTCACATTTGCTACCCCTCCCCCCCCACAACAAGACTGGGGTGTTGCTTGTACACCGGTGGATGACGGTTTCCCGCGCTTCCATACACGAACAAATACTGAATTGAATTAGGGGTTTTGCTACGCTTTAACCAAAACAAATTGCAAACAAAATAATTATTTAAAAGTTTTGATAGTGTCATCAAATTTTTAATTTTACGATTATCGTATTTAGGCCTAATCATACTGTAAAATTTGTGTAAATCCGTTGGCAAATATATAAATCTATATAAATAATATTACAGTTTTGTCTGTACATTGCTTAGAATCATGCAGGTGTTGGTTATTTTTACGTTTCATAACACAAGAAAGCCGAAACGAGTCTTATCTCAATTTCTGTCTGTCTGTTTGTCTATTATAAGCCAAAATGTCATTTTGCGCGGCCTACTCCTAGAAAACCAAAGTTCCGATCAAGGTTCTAATAATTTTTCCGTATTTACTGGATTGATGAGAGTGGCTTTGGCTATAAAAACATGGCCTCGCTTCTTTGAAAACAAAATAACGAACCATCAAAAACCCAATTTGGTTCGAATTTTGTCAAATTTTCTCCCAATATTTACTATTACATTTTATGAAATAACGATCAGCTGTTTGGATTAGTTCTCACTTCTAGCTGTCACTGATATGTTTACATTAAAAGTTGTTTACAAATACCGCAACCATTTCTGATCAAGTTTTGTTAGCACATCCAAACCAAGTTAGATTAAAAACGTTGTGCGGCCTTGGTTGTGCCTTACTGTCACTGGTGCAGCTGGAACTGCAGTCGTTGGACGATCGTCGTCGCACGATTATAGCTCGGCGATAATCGTTGCAGTAGGCTCCGTTGAAAAGTAGGCTCTCACTGGTGCGATTATTATACAATCGTTCTGTTAAAATTCTTGACTGTTGCCGAGTTGAAGTAGGGATAGTGAATTACTGTATTAGTTTATAGGCTTTAACAAAATACTATTCATTTATTTGCTGGTTGAAGATCTAGAAGATGGACAATTTTTGGAAGTGATATGTGTTCAAAGACTTAAGCACACATTCACACATAGTATAATTACAAAACGAACAGAAGAGGGGTACTTCAAAATATTAATAAAATAAACAATAATTTCCAAGCTGATGGGAGAATGTTATCTGAATTCTTCAGACTTTCAAAATCTCATAGGCCCGGCGCATATTGAGACGCAGTCGGAGCAGCGCAGCGTAGTGCAGCGCAGCACTTGTGGTCGAGTCACAAGTGTCTGTGCCGCATTGCTCACCTGCGCCGGGTTGACTAGTGTTTTGTGACGGATCTAGAGGATAATTAATAAAAATTGTGCGTTTTTATCCAGTTTTTACGTTACCAGTCATGGTTAGTATACAAAGAGTAATTACAAGAATTAAATCTGGGAGAAAATACGAAAATCACTAAACATTGAAATTTTTTTTCGCCCTTTCTTTCTTGTTCTCTGGTGAAGAAGTAACAATAAATCTAGATCAGCACCTGAATCTGATTCAGAACTCAAATCCTAATATTTAACAACATGTTCACACAAGAAACTGTGTCACTCCTATACGAGAACTGTACGACACTGCTTCCCAATATGCGATGTCAACTGTGCAACACAAACTTTTTGCCCAATTCTGCCCTGTGCTGTGCTGCACTGCCCGGACCGTGCCGCACAGCTCAATATGCGCCTGGGCTAAGTTTTTGTATAGTTTGATCAATGAGCATTTTTACTTTAAAACTACATTCCCTATCCAATCACAGGAGATGAGAAGTTTGATCTTACGTTAAGGTAGGACATGGTGTCTACTAAACCTGGTTTGAAAAATTCAAGGAGTTTTCCAGGAGAATTCAAGACAAATTCCTGAATTTTAAGGAGCTACTATCGGAACCCGTTTAACTAATCGCAACCAGCTAATAAATGAAAATGATTATTATTAGGCTATTATTATTATTAATAATGATTATTATTATTTGAAACAAAACATTTCCAAAGAATAATATTTTATACAACATAATAAAACAGTATAACTGGTAGGTAAGGCGACACCAGTTATCATCTCCCGCGATTGTGGGAATATCAGTGAGCATATCTTGCAGTATCTTCAACATCAGCGACAAAACGTCACACCGTCAACGATCACGGCAACACCCGTATTCATATTTTGCGGTTTGGGCGACACCGATAACCGTCTCTCGCGATCGCGGCAATTCCCGTAGGCATATCTTGCGGTTTCGGCAACACCGATAATCGCCTACCGCGATCGCGGCAATAGCCGTGAGGAAATCTCGCGGGTTCGGCGACACCGATAATCGTCTCCCGTGATCGCGGCAACACCCGTGGGCATATCTCGTGGTTTCGGCGACACCGATAATCGTCTCTCGCGATCGCGGCAATACCCGTGTTGAGCATATCTTGCGGTTTTAGCAACACCGATAATCGTTTCCCGCGATCGCGGCAACACCCGTAGGCATCTCACGCGTCTCTCGCGATTGCGGCAATACTCGTGAGCATATCTTGCGGTTTCGGCAACACCGATAATCGTCTCCCGCGATCGCGGCAATACCCGTGAGCATATCTTGCGGTTTTAGCAACACCGATGATCGTTTCCCGCGATCGCGGCAACGCCCGTAGGCATCTCACGTGGTTTCGGCGACACCGATAATCGTCTCTCGCGATCGCGGCAATACCCGTGAGCATATCTTGCGGTTTTGGCAACACCGATAATCGTCTCCCGCGATCGCGGCAATACCCGTGAGCATATCTTGCGGCTTTAGCAACACCGATAATCGTCTCCCGCGATCGCGGCAATACCTGTGCGCATATCGCGGCAACGCCCGTAGGCATCTCACGTGGTTTCGGCGACACCGATAATCGTCTCTGGCGATCGCGGCAATACCCGTGAGCATATCTTGCGGTTTTAGCAACACCGATAATCGTTTCCCGCGTTCGCGGCAACACCCGTAGGCATCTCACGTGGTTTCGGCGACACCGATAATCGTCTCTCGCGATCGCGGCAATACCCGTGAGCATATCTTGCGGTTTCGGCAACACCGATAATCGTCTCCCGCGATCGCGGCAATACCCGTGAGCATATCTTGCGGCTTTAGCAACACCGATAATCGTCTCCCGCGATCGCGGCAATACCCGTGCGCATATCGCGGCAACGCCCGTAGGCATCTCACGTGGTTTCGGCGACACCGATAATCGTCTCCCGCGATCGCGGCAATACCCGTGAGCATATCTTGCGGTTTTAGCAACACCGATAATCGTTTCCCGCGTTCGCGGCAACACCCTTAGGCATCTCACGTGGTTTCGGCGACACCGATAATCGTCTCTCGCGATCGCGGCAATACCCGTAGGCATCTCACGTGGTTTCGGCGACACCGATAATCGTCTCTGGCGATCGCGGCAATACCCGTGAGCATATCTTGCGGTTTTAGCAACACCGATAATCGTTTCCCGCGATCGCGGCAACACCCGTAGGCATCTCACGTGGTTTCGGCGACACCGATAATCGTCTCCTGCAATCGCGGCAATACCCGTGAGCATATCTTGCGGTTTTAGCAACATCGACAATCGTGTTCCGCGATCGCGGCAACACCCGTAGGCATATCTCGTGGTTTCAGCGACACCGATAATCGTCACTCGCGATCGCGGCAATACCCGTGAGCATATCTTGCGGTTTCGGCAACACCGATAATCGTTTCCCGCGATCGTGGCAACAAAAGCGGTAGTGTTTCGGTTAGGCGACGATTCCGATGACTGGGCTCCGGATTCCCGGAGGTTTGGGTGGATTCCTGGAGTTTTCCAGGACATTTCAAGGTAAGATAAAATTCCCGGAGGTTTCCCGGTTTTCCCGAATTTCCCGGAGAGTAGACACCATGTAGGATAGTTTATTTATAAACGTTAGATTTTTTTACTAAGCTAATAAACTAATACAATGCTTTGGTATTATGTTTTCCTTTTTCAGAATAAAACATGTTCATTATAAAAAATAGTAATACCCCAGTTGCTGGAAACCTGTGTACTCGTGGACTTTCCAATTCATTTATGTGTGTCTTAATACTACCACATAAAGCCATTAACCAAGTATCATCAAATGCATTAACAATTAAGCTATATATAACATTTGAATTATTCTCCATAAGAATAAGATTGGGGCTGAGTACACTCGAGGCTCTTACTCGAGAAAAAGCTGTGAATGCCTCAAAAATCGTCCAACGACTGCGACTCTACTGCTCCAGGAGCAGACCCGTACGGTGGACGTCTACGACTAGGTACGGTACGACTGCGGCTACAGACGCGTCAGTGACAACGGTGCCATTGAAAACAATGCTAAGCTGGCTCTCTACGATTATCGTTCAACGGCTGTGTGCAGTTCCAGCCGCAAACACTTATATATTTGCCAACGGATTTACACCAATTTTACAGTTTGATTGGGCCTAAAAACGATTATGATAAAATTTGATGACACTATCAAAAATTTCAAATAATTACTTTGTTTGTAATTTGCTTTGGTTAAAGCGTAGCAAATCCCCTAATTCAATTCTGTATTTTTGTTTGTATGTCTGTTGGTAACGCATTAATGTCCTTATTTCTCATTGTTTCGTGGAAAAGACAAGAGCACCTTTGTTAATGAAAATTTCAACCCAAATAAAGTGTGCAATAGTGAGGTTGAGGTAGTATTTTAACTACTTTTAACCTGTGTGAAAAGTAACTTTCAATTACAGGCCTTCTTTTAATGCAAAATGCACACTAAATATGCAAACCAACTCCTGTTCAGAATATAAGGTTTCAACTTACTACAAGATTCCCGTAGGCCCTACGTAGAACGGGCAAACAGCTAGTAAGTAAATAAATGCACAGTCCACAAAACATTGATACGTTAACAACGTAAAGCTTTAAAAATTCATGATGGTTTGCTATAAATATATTTCACTAATGTTTTATCATTTTCATAGCATAAGCTATTATTTTTGAGTCCAGAAAGAAAACGTAAAACTTAGAGTGCGAGAGTGTTTTGCGCCAACTCTCGCAATGCTGTTTTAGCGCTAACACAGCTCGCTATTTTAGTCATCGGAATGAGCATTCTCAGTTAAAGAAATAACATTTATGATTACTGTAATATTAATTGCCTGACACAAGTATTCGATTTTTATATATTACTGATAGGCTTTATTCATAGGCTTTCTTAGGCTATGAAACGTAAAAATAACCAAAAACTCCATGATTCTAAGCAATGTACAGGTAAAATTCAATTTTATTTGAATAGATGTCTCTTTCCGACTTACAGAAAATACTTGTTTTTAAATCATAAACTAGTATCTGTTAAAATCAGGAGTCCAGTCTAGTTAGTGTGTCCGGTCAGAGTATGAATGCGAGGTGTGTGTGAGATGACGAAGCTACAGTCGCGTTGCAGGGCCGGGCAGAGCGGCTGGCACTGGAGCTGCGCTATGCGGTGGGGGGAGGGGGAGGGGACCGGAGCGCGAGAGAAATAATGATAATTTCTTTAAAAATGGATTCCGATGCAACCATTTGGCCGAATTAATATTTGAAAACGGCAAAATTCTTTTAAAATTTTTCTTTACAAAATGACTACCTGCGATTTAAAAAAATAATTACAGAAAAAAAAATTCTTTATAAAACTTTTTTGTAAATAAATTTTAAAAAACATTAGCAAAATAGCGTAAATGTCTTTATCATATCATTTACAAAACCGTTTACAAAACAAAAATCTGATAATAAATACGGAAATTATAAGTGGTACAAATTTGCCGCAGAGGTGCTGCTATCTATCGGGCCAGAAACACAACTTTTTCAGGGATGTTTAGCCTTCAGCATCCTGAACAGGTACGGATGGAAAATCCGTGGCTTGCCAGAAATTGAGAGAGTTAAAAATCTACCTTACCGTACTGTCGATTTACCCAAGGCTGGACTTGCAGAATCAGTCGCCTAGTCCAGCTTTCCCGTGTCTCCTGTTCTCACGAACGTGCCAATGGGCTACTCTCTTCTTGCCTGGTCCTCTTCGTGCTGCTGATATATTGCCTTTTCTCTGCCGCCAAAAGTTTTGGACACTGTTTGATAGGTAGATGCTACCCTATAGAGAGAGCTATGCCTAGGGAGAGCCACATCCTGTATACCTCCTTATTGAGAGCGTCTTTACAGGAGTACGGAATGGACTGAAAACATCAACAGCCTTCAATGACGACCGAGGGCCTCCGACATTGGCCATCAACAGACTAAGAGAAGAAACCACCCTAGCTGCCGGACAGATCTGCTCAGATCTAGTGGTATGGAAGATGTGATCACGCCAGCTAAGCTTACTGTCCACCATGACTGACTTCGACGGCCCCCCACCCTCAATGGCACGATGGTGTCAATCAGTTTTTTGTCAAAGTCGCGATCTCGGTTTTGTTCAAAGCAAGCAAAAGACCGTGTTCCGCCATCCACGCCTTGATGGCTGAGCCAGCTAATGCTACGTGCAGCTATCAAAGCTGCTGGTTGGGTACATTGTCTGCATACCCAACCAAAACAGAGTTTTCTCAGGCATTTAGACCTCAGAAGGCCGTTGTAGAAGGCTGTTTTCCATTGAAAACTTTGCTAAGAACATAGTACTTGCAACTTCATATAAAGACAGGGGCAGCAGTATGTGTAGTTGCAAAGCCAGAAAACTCATCCAGGCAACTTTATAATGGACTCGCATTTCCTAAATTCATAAATGAACTTTGTCAAGAAATTCATGTGGCCTTAGTATGGCGAGGGAGTATGCACTGAAATCTTCCAAATAGCGCCCATGTGAAAGTGACGGAGCCAAGTCAGTTGTAGAGTCAGCACAATCTCCTGAGTGTCCAGCAGACAAGGTAAAACACCCCGAGTATAACTATTAAATAATAATAAGATACGGTGATATTTCAAACCTCCATTTGCACTATGACTAGTGATGTTAGATACCGTGATTTAAAAATATCGGTGACTTTGTTCCAGTGACAAAGAAATATCGGGGGAAAATATCGGTGACTGAAATATCGGTGACAGCTTTAAAGACCGCACTGGTTTGTCACTGGGGCATTTACTATCGATGCTGTGGCGATACGTCCCTTGACGATTTAGAATCAGCTGTTTGTCACTGAATTTTAAATATTTTAGTCAATTAGGTACCAGTACCTTTGCTTTGGGGTTTTAAAGGAACATCTACTTGTTTGCCTACACTTTGTGAAATAAAATATATCGTAGTATTGACCAACTAATAAACTTTGGTTTGATATTAATTAAAATTAAAAATATATATAGGCGGTCCATAGATACTAATAGACATAATAGGCCTTGTCAGGCTCTTGAATTAAAACACTACATTTTATGCTGAAGTACAGTTTATTAAGTTGCAAATGGATAACTTTTACACATAACTGAATTTAGGTTAGACATCGTCAATACTCATTGGAGGTTATAGATCTGAGAGAAAACGGAAGCATAGAAATACAAAAATGATACAGTAGCAGTACTACCAAGGCAACTGCCTTAAAAGCAAAGACTTATAAAATAAACATAATCTCACTATAAAAATATCAGTTTATAACAGGCCTAGTTCAGGTTAATATTGGCATATGAAAGCATTTAGAATACGTTGAGTTTGAATAATGTTGGTTGGCGTTGTTGTCCGAAAATATTGTGTATTGTCTAGTAAGTGTCATCGGATGTGACTCATGTGAGGTGGTTGGTTATGCAGGGATTGGTTGATACGTGAATACGCGGGCACCTCGTCACAGGTGATTTTGTAACAGATTCTGATATCGTCAGAGAGAACAGTCTGCTGACTCGCCCCTCCCTCCAAGCCGCCGCGCCATCGTCGAGGAGCGACTTGCCGCTGTCACCGATATTCCAGTCACTGTATTTTCGAGCCTCTTGTCACCGATATTTCAATGACAAGCAGGTATCGGTGACTCTGTCACCGATATCAAAATATCGAACATCCCTAACTATGACTGAGATTAGCACACTCAAACAATCTAAAAGCATCAAAGATTTACTGGATAAAAGGAATATGAACAGTGTTATTTTAACCAATTTTAAGCTGTGTATTACCATATTATTTAAAATTTACCTCAAATGAGATTGTATTTCAATTTCTCTTCTGAGCTGGTGTTCTACTCGAGCTTTTTGTATCTGAGATTTGAACAACACTTTGATTGCTACAATAAACTGCGACTGTTTTTCTCTGGCAAGATAGACATTCCCAAACTTTCCTTTGCCCAATGCCTTGCCTATGTCAAAATCACTAAGGGTCCATTTTTTCCTGAAAATAATAAAAATTATAAATTATGGATTATTTTAGCAGGTATTAAGTATCCAGTTATATACCCTACCCAGTTATCAAATGAATAGAAATAATTTAAAAATGAGATAAAACATGATTTTTTTGTTCTTTGATTGTTCTGGTTTTGTTCTTCCCAAAAACTCATTGAGCCAATACTATATTAGTGATGCGTATGAGTGAAAGCAAAAACACTTCCTTTCACCAACTGTTTGGATGAATATTCACAAATTGGTAGCCATACGATGTTAAACATCATAGGATTTATTTAATTTTATTTATATACATAAACAAATCATATAATAATTATTTAATTTTATTGATTGACATTGACATTCATAAACAAATCTATGTAACTAATACGCCAACACGAAATTTGCTCCTCCACCATTTCTTAACCGATTTTGCCCATTCACGTCTCATTGGAAAGAGCAAGTCGGGTAGATTTGAAAACTGAACCTAATTTTTTTTTTAAGTCCCTCAGGCTCTGCCCTAGTGGCTTTTGAAGTTCTTATGTTATCCTTATGAAGAAAATATTTGTTTACATTATGATCAGCTGGATAATTTAATTGCTGTTAATTTTGCAATGGAAACGCATGTATAATAATATTTAACGATTTGGTTGAAATTAAATATTTACTTACTATCGTTATTAGCCTGTACATATATTTGAACACCTACAATATGAAGATTCCTACAAACAATGAACGAGGATGTTTGCCGAAGTGCTAATATTTTTAGTAGGAAACATGGACTTTACTTTGTGATCATTGCAGAGGAAACCCCACTAAGACTGAATAAAATTGGTTCGGCAAGGACATTAAATATATGTTTCAATAAAAGTCAAGTGATTTTAAAAGAATATGACTACATCCAAGAAACCTTTAGTCAAACTTTCATTTAAGGATTTAATTATTTTTCACGTTTAAGGAAAAAAACATAATTTAATCAATAACAAATATATAACGAAGAAAAGTCCGGGTATTTGTAATAAACATTAAATAAAACTTTGTATTTGTTGTAAATTTCCAAGTCTATATTTATAAAAGAGGAAGTTTGTATGTATATAATATATATATTTGAACGTAATGGACTCCGAAACCGTTTGACAGATTGTAATGAAACTTTCAGGCATTATTAAGCATTATTCAAGGATGGTTTGTGTGAAGTTTGGTGCAGATCCGTCAAAAGGACTCTGCCCCAGTGTCTCTTGAGTTTCATATGTTAACCTTATGAGTACTTATATTTCAATGGAATTAAAAAATCTTAACAGCTGGTTCAACTAAACAATTTGATTCTGAGATGTTCAATAGCATTAAATAGTTAATAGGTTTACCAACAGGGCGCAGCACTATAATTTTTTTTTAATTTATGACAACTGCTAATTTTAACCAAAAGGTGAGAGCGTAGCAAACGAACTTCAACCTGGAGGTGAGTTAGCGTAGCAAACGAACTAAACCTGAAGGCAAGTGAGCGCAGCGAACAATGTCCAACCTAAAGGTGAGTAAGCGTAGCAAACAAACTTCAACCAGGACATGATTGAGCGATGCGAATGAGCTCATCTTAAAAATGAACGAGCATTTGACATAAAACCATATTAGGACAGGACGACGTCTGTCGGGCCAGCTAGTTTTCTTATAAATTGTTATGTTCTGATAGCATTGTTTGAAACCAAAATCTCATGAACTCGAAAGACATCAAGTTTACAATGTAATATTGAATTTAAACTTGATTTAGTTTGATAAGGTTATCATAATACAGCCATTTTAGAAAAAAATAGTTTTTTGCAGCAAAGCCTCAGTAACACAATTCATCACTGTTGTGGTTCAAATGAAAATGTCATCTAATTAGTTCGTGACTAACTAGTGCTGCTACCTTGTAACACATTGAACAACCTTCTGTAGCGCTATCTGTTCGCAATCGTTGGCGTCAGCGTCAGTGAAAATACTGGTTTTTGGCTCCTCAGTCTCCAAGCACAGATAGCCGAGAAGGCTAGGGCGTGTGTCACTTGGCCAGTGGTATTAGTTTGCTCGGGTTCGATTCCTGTCCTGTGTGGCAAATAATTGGTGACCTGTGTGTTTGTAGCGATATACTACAACCACTGGGGCATAGTGAGGTGTTCATAATCTTTGGTTTAGACATATACCTCGAATTATCGGATTGGGCGAATGTTTTAGCTAAGTGGTTATTTATTAGTGTATCCCATGAACATGCAGGTCAACGATGGCCATTTTGCTACTTTTTGTAAAAATACCCTTCCTCTCTACATATATCCCTTAGAGATTTTAGTTAACGCCAATATATCGTCGCATAGCACTCAAAGGGTTAACTTTGCATTTTCTCAGGTAAATATTACAGTAACTAACCAAAATAATGCCAATTGAAGCAAATAAAATCGTGACAGACAGGTTATACAGGAAGTTCTTAAGTACCGGTAATGTGAACAAATGTTAATGCTATTAAAAAATAACTGAAACTTGCAAACATCCTGGCGACAATGGGTAGTACCATGCAGGCTACATTATCAATGAGTGGGAAATGTTTCTAGAAAACATCAAAAAACGAGATCAGATTTTGAAAAATTAGACATTTACAAGAAATGTTGATTATATTGAACTGTTATGGACATCGTAAGTATTTCCAATAGTTATATAATCTTTGAGTTCCCTCTTTTTACTCATTGGAAATTATGACTGTTAATCGTTTCCAAACAAGTCCTGTAATATTTTGCAATTGCTCGATTTCAAGCAACATATACCTAGGCATATAATAAAAATAATAAACATTAGTAATCAAAAACTGTAAAATCGTTTCCTCTGCAGATTTGTTGTGAATATGTATAGTATTAAATTCATAAGAGAACATTATTGCTTTTATTTAAGTTTACTTCATTGACAAAACTATGCACTTATTATTACAAAACATTCTTATCAATCCATCTATTTAGTTTTCTCAGTAAATCTGTTCAAATATATCAAAAAAAGCTCTTACCTGTTAGGATCTGAGTTACTCTCTAATCCCATTTTCTTATCCGATTCAACTTGGTCAGCAGTGAGTGTTTTGCCATTAGATGTTTGAAAAGTAGCTTCACTTTGTATCACAGCTTTAGGTTGTTCTTGAGTCTGAAGTGGAATTCCTGAAGGAAGAGGTTTTGTAACTGTCTGGACAGTGTTTCCAACAGAATAGGAAGATTTTGGAACTGTCTGGACAGTGTTTCCAACAGAATGGGAAGGATTTGGGACTTTCTGGATAGTGTTTCCAACAGAATAGGAAAATTTTGGAGCTGTCTGGACAGTGTTTCCAACAGAATGGGAAGGTTTTGGGACTTTCTGGATAGTGTTTCCAACAGAATGGGGAGGGTTTGTAACTGTCTGGACAGTGTTTCCAACAGAATGGGGAGGGTTTGTAACTGTCTGGATTGTGTTTCCAACAGAATAGGAAGATTTTGGAACTGTCTGGACAGTGTTTCCAACAGAATGGGAAGGTTTTGGGACTTTCTGGATAGTGTTTCCAACAGAATGGGGAGGGTTTGTAACTGTCTGGATTGTGTTTCCAACAGAATAGGAAGATTTTGGAACTGTTTGAACAGTGTTTCCAACAGAATGAGAAGATTTTGTAGTTGTATGGATTGTGTTTCCAACAGAAAGGGAAGATTTTGAAACCGCTTGAACTGCATTTCCTCCAGAGTGAAACTGTTTTGTAGTCGGTTGTGTGGGTTTTGACAAAGACTTTCGTAGAGTGGTCCCAGTCTGAACTTTTGTTTGCCCGGTTGTGGAAACTTGATTTCTTTGTTCTCCACTGGTATGTTGACTACCAGTATTCACATTTGGTTTGGATCTATAAAAATTGCACATTTTATTTAATGTAACATGTCATAATCAAAACATTATGAAAGTAAACCATAAATGAAGAATAACATGTTAGGGTCCTGACTGAAACTGTCTAAAATAGTCTATTTCTAGTAAGAATTTGTAGGATTCCCAAAACATTGGGATGGGTCGGGACCAAAGTCATTCCCGACTAACACTCGGAAATTAAATCATAGCCTCTCCTAATAGAAGGCCGTGGCGAGACAAAACAGGCAACCACAGCTGATGTTGCGACGTTGCCACACACCAACGCCGCGACCTTGTATTAGAAGAGGCTATGCCATAAATGAACTTCGGAAAATTTTGGGATGGAACAGGTAATTGGAGATTATTGGAAAATTAATTAATTTTCAGTCAAACATACAATTATTTCTATTGTAATATCATAGACAAAAAGAATTAAATATAGACTGTCAGCCATGCTACTGTTACCATGGGTTCTGGTGCACACCGCTTGGAGCGCCGTGTAGTTACGTAGCACGTACGCCGTAACTACATGGCGCTCTAAGCGCTGTGCGCCAGAACCTATGGTATCCGCAGCACAGCTGAAGGTCTATATTTAAATCTTTTTGTCTATGGTAATTGTTCGATATTCATATCTTTAGAGTATTTAGAAATTAGGTAATCATTATGTTAATTAAGTCACTGGTTAATTAATCATGCTAATGTGTATATAAATCACCATCCTTTTAGTGTAATATTATTTAGTCTCAATAACAATTTATTGTAAATAGACTCCCGCTTTCAATATTCAAATGAGATTGCTAAGCCCGCTCGAATTTCCCGCCACAGTAAGGCCTATTTTCCTGTACTACATACCCATGAATCACCTGACGCCGTGTTTGCTTCAATCGCATTTCCTATTGGCCATCGAATTCCTAGACCCCTCTAAACCGTAATTGCATTTTTAAAAGTGAAGCCGGCGATCGGCGTCTGTCTGTCCTAGGTCGGCGTCCATAACTCACGGTTTACTCTGTTTCTATTCTCTCGGGACATTAATTGCCCATTTTACCTCTCTTTAACGCATTTTTAGGCCATAGATTAATTATATCTGGCCTCTCTCTCCTCTACAGTACATTTAACAATATTTACATTTTAATTTACCCCTTTTGTTTGTGATTAAATTACTTAAATTGTGATCAGTGTTTCCAGACTCTTCTGTACCCCAAGACAGTGTGTGCGTGTTCGTTATTTCTTCTAGACTTTCCGTTCGATTCTCACCGCGACTTCCGCGTATTAGTGAGCTCTTTGTGTTTTATAAACTTGGGTGCAGGGCCGCCCCGAGGGTAATAGACACCCGGGGCGAGATTTAAATTTTCACCCCCTCCCCTAACAAGGTATTTGGGGGGTTTGCCTCAATAGACCCAACGTCCAATATATCGATATCAAACGTTTTGCAAGTATTTTTTTATAAATATAACAACTACACTGAACCAAATTATTAAAAACATTGAATTTACAACTCACAACGGACATCATTAAAAGACTATGACATAGTGTTATATAGTCAATGACTATGAGTAGAAAAGTATGTAAGAATTTGAGCTTTGAGGTTAGAAACAAGCAAGTGTAGGTGGGGCGTGTGGGCGAATACGCAGTATGTTTGTCTCAGACTCGCAGTATTGCCAACAAGTCACATGCCAGACGTAAAAGTAGTAATAGTACGAGTTGTAGGTTATATTAAATAATACGGTATTTATTTTATGAACAAAACGAAAGGTAGCCTATAGATTGCCTTTTTTTAGAATAGTCATTGATTACATGTTTACGAGTTTTCTCTAAAATATTTGTTTGCCGATAACGTTGTTAACTTTTAAACCTTCCAAAGCCACGGCGCCCAGGGCGGTCGCCCCGCCCTCGGGGCGGCCCTGCTTTGGTGCGTTGCGTTCTTCAAAATTCTACAAAACAGAAGCACTCGGTTTAAGGACTCCGCCATCCGCCATCGCTCCGCCATAGACGACGCCGCTGTCATCCTCTCCACTCCTTTGGATAATTGGACTCAAGGTACAACCTTAAAGTTTTGTGTGTGTTTTAATTAGACTCTTAACTAATCTCATTTGCCCCTCACAAGACACTTTATTTCACCTTGGGACCTCAGTGCCCTTCAAATTCCAGATTCGCCATTTTTCTCTAATTTATTATTTTTCTCTTGAACTATTAATTAGTTCTGGTCCTTCGAGTTATTAATTATTTTCATTTCACCCATTACGCCCTCAACAGTAATATTAATCAGAAATGAAATAACGAGAGACGTCAACTGTTTTTTCTCAAGTCAAACCGTAAATCTAATGAGACAAGCCAGATTGCACAATGGATTTACATACAAAATATGAGCAGACAGCAAGCAGGTGCAATGTAAGGAAGAGTTGTTATTAAATGAATATTAAAATATAAAAACATTCACAGCATTTATTATTTTATGTACCTATGTTTTTTCATTACATTCCATTGTTCCTTTTAGCAAATTTCCCTAAAGGGAAGTAGCTATCTTACTAATATTATAAATGTGAAAGTTTGTGTGTTTGTTTGTTTGACGTTCAATCACACATTAACTAATGGTCGGATTGGACTAAAATTTGGCATGATGATAGCGCATATTCCCGATTAACATATAGGCATAATTCTTATCTCAAAAATCTTTACGGGCTCCGCCCCTGTGGCTCTGTAGTTTCCCATGTTAACATTATGAGTATTCATATTTAAAGGGAATTGAAGAGTTTCGTCAGCTGTTTTAACTAAAAAGTTGGTTCTATGATATGCAAAAGTATTAAAGTTATAAGATTCTATTCACCAACAGGGTGCAGCACTATTATTTTTTTGCATTTATGAAAACAGCTAATTTGAACTAAGCAGCAACAAAAAACTGTGATAGGCAATGAAAACTGTCAAAGTAGGATTGTTTACAGTTATGTTTATGTTTTTAATTGCATGAATAATTTGTGATATTTTGTGAATTTTTAATAATTAATTTTTCTTTATTGTTTAGGTGAAGTGGTAGAACATTATGGCTATGGTAGATGTGTAATACTATACTGTCCGCGAGAGTAAAGAAGTCCCTTGAGCCAGAGCGATACACAGCTATGTTTGGAGGGTATCGCGCATTATTTGCAGGCGCTAAGCATCTGAGCGCCTCGCCTCGATGTCTGTCTGTAAACAACTGTTGTAAACATAATTACTCATATCTTTGTTTTGGTAAGTGGATTATCATCATGTGGTCACGTCATTTGATTCAGTGTAGTCTCGTGTGTTCGCGTAGTGAGTTCGTTTCGTTTTGGACGGTCCTTGTAGCTATGGATTTAAGAAAACGTGGTGCTACTATACATAGTGGAGAGAGGGATTTAATTAGACGGGTGATCGAGTGTTGTGACAACGAATGTAAAGACAAAAGGTTATTAGTGCCGATAGAAAAGGCAACGGAACGTGCCGCAAACTATTGTAAAGTGTCAGAAAAAACTATTAAATGAATTAGAAAAGCCGGCAAACAAACTCCGGATGAAAAACTCTGTACACCCGGGAAAAAACGGAAGAAGGCTGACCACCATAAAGTACAAATAGATAGCTTTGATAGGCGTGTAATTGTAGATGTAATACGCGATTTTTACACGAACAAAAAAATTGTCCCTACATGTAAAAAACTATTACCTGTTTTGAGAGAAAGAATTAATTTTAAATGGAGCGAATGGGCACTTCGGCGTCTCTTAAAAGATATGGGGTTCAAGTGGAAGAAATGTGGTTCCAAAAGAAAATGTTTGATTGAAAGGCCTGACATTGTTAATTGGAGGTTTAAGTATTTGCGAGAGATAAGAAAGCTAAGGGAACAAAAAAGGAAAATTTTCTATCTGGACGAAACTTGGATAGACAGTAATTTAACGTTCCAGAAATGTTGGCAAAGTGTAGACGTCGATGGTGTGTTGCTTGATATGAACGCGTCAAACCGCGTGATTGTCGTAGACATTGGGTCGAACGAAGGGTTTTTGCAGGGGGGTCGGCTTATTTATAAGGCAAACAGTGCCAAAGGAGACTACCATGGCCAAATGAATTTTTCCAACTTTGAAAAATGGATTAGGGAACGTGTATTGCCAAATTTACCGCCAAATTCAGTCATAGTCATTGACAACGCTCCGTACCATGGAGAACAGGAAGACAAAGTCCCTAATAAGTCTTCAACAAAGAAAGTAATGGTTGAGTGGTTGTCAAAACACGGCGAAGACTACGAAGAAATGACAACAAGGAAAGCGGAACTTTTTGAAGCCATTGAAAGACTTAAACCACCACAAAAAGTTTACAAAATTGATAACTTGGTACAACAACAAGGCCACACCATTTTAAGACTTCCGCCTTACATGTGTGACTTAAATGCCATAGAATTTGTCTGGGCAAAAGTTAAACAACATGTTCGATCAAGAAACACAACAGGTAAATTTATCTTACTTTAGATATATGTTAACATTTTTTGATTTAACATTAGTTTCAAAAATTTTAGTTCTACTAATTATGCCACTTTAATTAATTACTTATTTTATTCAATATTTTATATTTTGAAAGAACTAATTACGATTAAAATTTAACGTTTTAAATAATGTGTATACAATAATTAAATATACTTTAAAATTCGTGGTAAACTCTTGAAAAAGATCTTTGTGAAAATTTAATGGTTTTACATTCAAAATATAACTTTTTTACACAATTTTTGTTCTGGAAAAAAACAAACCCTTATTTTTTGTAATTTGATTTTATTTTTGCAGAGTACTATCACTATGCCTTAAATCATTATAAACATTTTTACAACTGTCAATCTTTCATTGTTTTTTTTAATAGCCACATATTCAGCATGATAAAGTTTGACATGACATATCCAACGGAAGTATTTTTATCAGGTAGCATGTCCCTGAACGCATTGACTGACATGGCAAACGAGGCGCTTAACTCTGTTACCCCTGCGTTGTGGAAAAAATATACCGAACATGTGGAACATACTGAAAATGAGTACTGGACGACGGATGGCATAGTGGAAAACGCGGTCGATGAACTTGTCATCAATTTGGGAGGCGGAGATGATTCATCGACTGAGGATTCCGACTCTGAACCCCATGATACAGACGAAGAAGATTTGGAGTTAGCCCAACCTTTGCCAATGAACATCGATTAAACTCTTACAATATCAGCATTTGTAAGTAAAATACTATATTGGCAATTGTTTTCTTGATCTTTGCTTAGGTTTATGGTAATAGGATTAAGAACTTTAATAATAAGTTGTTAATTGACAAATGCTATTGAAACTGCTGTACTCGTGTACTTATATTATGTACCGGTAATATGCATTCATCGTAAGTATATTCATGGATCAACTAATTATTCGGGATTAATGCTTTCAAACTCGGATTTAAAAAGGATTTTATTTTATTGTATTTTATTGGTATTGTTACATTTAACTAAACAAAAATCATAAAGTAGAAAGGTTATTAATCAGCCTTAGTAACACTGGAAAATGGGCTTCCTTCGATTGTATGACTACCTATGCAAAAAAAAATTATGACATAGATTTATAAAAATCATACAGATATTACGTACAAAAATTAAGCCTAACAACTAACAGAGCAGAGTGAAGACGGCTCTAATTGTCGCGCGAAACGTTCAAGCGTAACGCCTTCAAACTACGAGTAGGCCGGAGCTCAGGGGACTTCTTTACTCTCGCGGACAGTAGTATACCTTAATTTAAAGAAGCAAATTTTATCAAACTGTGTCCTCCCCCATTGCAAACGCTAAGAGTATAACTGCAATAAGCGTTTTACACTTATATGCCAACCCCGTACGAAGGACGGGTACTCTGCTAATTATTAATATATGTGGCACAGTAAGACCTATATATATACATACACATACATACAGTGCTTGGACTGAGGTGCCAGAACTGTAACCTGTAATGTGATTAGTACATATTTATGCCAATATTTTTAACTTTCTTAACTTCTAGCAATTATGTTTCTTAATCTATACTATTATAAAGAAGAGATGGTGTCTGTGTGTGTGTGTGTGTGTGTGTGTGTGTGTGTGTGTTTGTATGAGGTAATCTCAAAAACTAATGAACCGACTGGGCTCAAATTGCACACAAATGAAGCTACAGCTCCGAGGATACATATAGAACTATTCCCGCTTCGATATTGTCCTAGGGCTCTGCCCCGTGGGCTTTCAAATATTTGAGGTGAAAGATTTAAAAGTAAATATTGATTGATGGTATCCATGGTAACAAAGAACAAACCTACAAAGTTTAAAATGTTAACTAACTGTCAAATGAATTTTGATTTCATAATTCCACACAGCTGGTTCAAACATATTAAATACTGCACGAATATTAGAACAGAGAGGGTAAGGATTATAAATTTAAAATAATGATGTCACTAGCCCGAATGTAAACATTATTTAACATTACTTAAATGGAGCTGTCAAACCATATGTTAATGTAATTTGAATTTCATTAGTATAAGATTCTTTCAGTTACTTCATTTGTTTTGTTTATGATCTATTATACGTACTGAGTCTGTTCTAATATTTGTGAAATGCTGTTACATATTTTACAGGAAATAATTCGTTGTAAAAAAATCGTTCATGGATATAGGAAATAATTAAGATTCTATAATCATTGCCGTATCAACCTAGGCTCTTATCCTGAGTTTTATGAGGTTTATTTTTTTTATTATTTTATTTTTTTGTGCAAACAGTAATAACCCCCTGCCGCAGCAAATCTACAGACTAAGCGAATTTCCATTTGCCTGATTAAAATTTCACTAAAATGTGTTATAAAATTACCCTTTTTTTCCATATTTATTTCTATTTTCCTATTTTTCGGTTTGGAACTATGTGATAGCTTTTCGTTTACAATGCAAACCATGAAATACATTCTTTTATTATACCTTAAAATCTATCATTGGCTTTGTATCGTAGGTAGCATAAATAAGTATTCACAGTATGAGTTAACAAAAACGTACTATTATCAAGTTAAGTAGGACAGTTAAATTTTGTTTCTAAATTTGGCATTTGGAAAACCATTTGGCATGTTTCTAAGAACCAACATTGTCTCTTTTTTGACCCCGTTGCAAGGCACGGGTATAGCTGCTAGCAAATACGAATAGTAGTGCTGGTTTGAAATTTAGTATAATGATTATAGCTGACATTCCCGATTAACATATAGACATATTCTTACCTCAAAAATCCTTTCAGGCTCCGCCCCAGTGGCTCTGGCTCTGGAGTTTCACATGTAAACCTTATGAGTATTCATATTTAAAGAAATTAAAGAATTTTGTCAGCCGTTTCAACTTCACAAGTTGGTTCTATGATATTAAATAGCATTAAAAAGGTATAGGCCTAAGTCTTACCAACAGAGTGTAGCACTTTTATGTTTTTTTTTGCATTTATGACCACAGCTAATTTTAACCAACTAGCAACAAAAAGTTGTGGAACACAATGAAAACTTAAAATTTTTTCATGGTTTAGGTGCAGTGGTAGAAAATTAGGGCTATGGTAGATACTGTAGGACATTATAGGATACCGTATAAATTAAAAGACCAAATTTTCTTAAACCGTGTTCTCTCCCATAACTACAATAAGCATTTAAAATACGTATATGCCAACCCCGTACGAAGGACGGGTACTCTGCTAGTTACTGATAAAAAGATCATTCATGAAAAAAAAGATCTCAATGTTGTTTAAGGCAAATTAGTTCTTGGGATTATACTCACAAGATGTGAGTGGGTCTCATGTTAGGGTTTGTTATTATTCTATTCTTCTGACAAAGAACCACAGTAGAACTGGCTTCTTTACTCGCTTCTTTCAAACCAGTGGCGCTTGAATGCATAGAAGTCATCAAAGATCTTCTCGCGGTGTTATTTGATGATAAAGGGACGATGTCTGGTTTTAATGTTGGTTGTTTCAGAGGAGGAGGTCGTTGGATGACATCTGGTTTGTTGCCTGAAAACATCCTATAAATTAATACCAATCAACTCTAAGAGCCTGGAAATTAGTGGTAAAGTTATATCTAAATTATATTCAACCGCATATGTAACTCTCTCACTAGTGATGCAAATGTTAATCCACTTCTAGAATAGCTAGAACCTGAAATTTGGCACGATTGTAGGTCTTGGTACCAAACCCCCCAAAATTTGGAATTCCCCCCATGTTATTCTTAAAGGAAAAAATATTGAACATTTCTGACATTGGAATGGGGATCTAAACCATTTAAAAACAAGGTAGAGACTACAAATTAGTCTGAGAAACCATGGAACTCCATGCTGCGAGATTCAGAAAAATGGAATGCACGAGGTATATTAATCTGAGAAATTTCCTGATAATTCTGCTACAAAAGAATGGCACTTGTCGGCAAGGTCACTGGATATGGGTTCATCCCATCCCAGTTGTTGGGTCCACAGGAGTTGCATTAAACATTTGCACCACATTGTTATGGTGCTAGAAAACCACAAGGGTCGTAAATCCTTGCGATGTTGCTGAGTAGTTGACGCTTAGTACAAGCGCCGGAGGGTAGGTCCAAGTGATAGGAGAAGGAATCCGTAGTTGGTGACCAATGTAGTCCAAAGATGGAGTTATTTACAAGGTTTATCGCTATACAATACAGTGTTTTAAGTGAGAAGGCTAGGTTTTAAGTGGGTTAGAGTAAGCTGTGATTTTAAACTTACAGTTTGTAACCTGTACCAAGGTCAATGGCTAGAAATGTCATGTTTGCACAATATCAAAGATCCCTCCCCTTACTACCCCGGATAATTGAGGTTCTACTTTAAAATGTAAACACTTTACCGGTACTGTAAATTTTAGTAACCTATGCTAGTTTAATTGTGTTTTAATGAGGTCAAATTGATCGATGCCGGTTCTGAACCTCGACTTAGCGAAATTCCTGCAAACCTAACCTCAATATAACGAACCTTGTTTAAACAAAATCCTTGATATAGCGAACATTAAGTTTGGTTCTTTTAGATTCGCTATACGGAGGACTGTAAAAAGCCCCGAGGATGGGGGGCCGGGAAGTGGTAGCCATCTTGGATTTTATGTTCCACTGTTAGGTGTTTCCAAAATATCTCGAAAACTATTAACTTTTTGTATATGAATTAGGAAATTAAAGAAGATTACATTTCCTACAGAAAAGTATATGATGTAACTATTGGCGAGCTCACGATAACCGCATTATTTGTAATAGTTTCTTATATTACAACTTTTTTGTGTGCTTACCCTCGCCTTCATCTTGGAACAATTTTCATGATTAAAGTGTGTGTTTTTATGATTAACTGGGGGCTTAGGCCTACCATGGTGTTTGTGACAAAACTAGGCCAGTCAATATGTTTCCATAGTGTGTGAAAAAAGTATTAATAGTAGGCCTAGGCCTCACTAACAATATGTCCTTACTTCCTGTTTAGTGACATAACCTAAAATATCTAGAACTAGGAGTTTTTATAAAGTTACCACATATAGGTAGCCTACTTATTTTCTACTTACTTCCAACTAGTCCAGATGATGAAGTAGTTTTTGTAATGGAAGGCCGTTGAACTGGCAGAATATTAAATGAGCGACGCTGGTAATTCTCTGGTTTCTTTTTCTCCGTACTGCCTTTGGAGACAACTGATTTTCTTGATACACCATTGTTCATTGAATTGGATCTAACTCTGGCAGGCAAACTATTCTCTTTCCCCGAAGGAGCCATTTTCTATACTTCCCAAATGTGTCTGTAAAAATATTAAAAGTGAGTAACTTAAGCCTAGGCCCAATAGTTTTAATACAGTACACTCCTGATTATCCAAGATAGTTTTTGGCCTAAATATTATATAATTTATTTTCAGTAGGAAAACTAATTAATTTATTATAAGTAGTATGTTTCTATTAAAATAAACGTAAATAAAATTACCAATTAATTTGCGATTTGTTGAAATGAACTGCAATAACACGGTCTACTAGGTTGGTTAGCCACCGACGGCAAACTGGACTGGATGAGCTGTCTGCAGAACATTAACTATAGCAGTGTCAGTCTTCTGAAAACCAAACAAAGTTAAACAAATTGTAATTTTATACTTTTGAACAAAAAATATCCACCTTTAGTGTTTTGTTTTAAATGATGTAGAGTCTATTGGCTTATTATGATTCTTATAAAAATTGTAGGGCTTACTATACTTTAAGTTTTACAAGACGATTAAAGAGGTGTTTAACCATTCCTGGACGGGTAACGGACATATCCGCCTAAGCCTTTGGCGATAAAGGACGGGTGGCGGATATATCCGCTTATTGTTTTTGATGTTCCGGATGGGAAGTGGATATATCCGCCTTCTCTTCAGACAGACTGGCAGGTGCTTGAGCAGTAACCAGATGTTTTGCGGTACCAAGGCGCCACTTTCCTGCTCTCTCCATGGCTGCGCTCTCTCTTGCACTCCCCCCTCTCAGCCCACGCCTACCACTCTCCCGCGCCACCCCCTCCCAGCCACTCCTAGGCTCCTCCCTCGACGTTTCACGCTCAACACTACATTGTCTTTATTTATTGTTTACATATATTGTTCTTTATTTATTGCCTAACGCTGTCATGGTCATATCTCCAAAGACGGGTGGCGGACATATCCGCTGCTTTTCTACTTATTCGCAAACAGGTAGCGGATATATCCGCATAGTTAAAAACAAGTAAAAATTTATTTTGACAGTATAAAGTGTTCCATTGTACACAATAAGAAAATTTTTTATTTTTTCCTATAATTTTTCCCCGTTTTGTCACGATTTCGCTCGTCTGGGTAGGGTTAACTGTTTGAAAGTAGGATATTTGACTTCATTATCATAATAAGGTATCTTAGCCCTAACCTTGAAATGTACATGCGACCTCTGGGTTATCTGAGATTCTTGGTTATCGAGACAGTCTCGGTCCCAACAGCCTCGTTTTATCGGGAGTGTAGTCAAAAACTCACTGGTGGTTTTAAAATGTAATCTAAATTAAATCAATTTTAATAGATCAGAGTATGTAGGTAGGGTTAATTATGCCTTTAAGTATTAAGGAAGGTTTCTTAGAGATGAATAAATGTTTTTTACTTAAGTAGCAATATGAGTACGGAACCTACCTAAACTAAAAGCAATGCACATTATATTTTTTTATTGAGGCAAACAAATATTTAAGGAATAATTAAGCCATTTAATTTGTGTCCGTTCAAATTAACACGTTCGCTACTGAGCGTCGCATATATGCGACGCCGCGGTCATTGTCACAGACCGAGGTATACATTTGAATCTTACACATAGACCGGCTGTCACTTGGTTAACAGTACACACAGACCACGGGTGAAAACCTGTAAAACAGTGATCATTTACATTGTAATGTGCTACAATCGTGTTTGTAAATAATTTATTCTTGTTTTTTGTATTTTTTTATAATCTTTTGTAATGTTGCATATTTGCGACGCCCGTTCTACAGCAAAGACAATAAGTTAGTGAAAATTAGGCTATCTTAGTTTTCTTGAAATAGACCAAACGTCACAAATAGGCTATGCGACGGTTCATTTTTGTTTGTGTTTGTGTTTTGAGGTAAAAGTAAGTAAAAAAGACAGATTATTCAAGATCAGTTTATAACTGAACAAATATAAAAGCTACAGAGGATAATGCATCATAAATACTGCATACATACATACGGTGATGCAGAAAAGTAAAGACCAGTTTTTCCAATTATCATATGACGTCACCAATCATCATATCCACAGACCAAGCGACGCAGTTGTGCGTCAGACATCTATGTAGACCACTGCAGGGAATTCAGTGCCTTCAAATAGACCGTTACAAAGATATAAGCATTTTAATAACATTACAACCCCGACGCAAATATGTGTCGTGCGTCTATTTTAATGTGACTAGCCGTCGCATGACGGCAGTCTATAGGTGGAAACCGGCCGTCGCATATGTGCCTCGCTGGTCCATGTGAATGAAAAATTTCATACTATTGCAGTAGCGAACGTGTTAATAATATATATATATAGGCATTTATACAATTGTTTGGGTAAAGGGCCACTATTATATATTAAACAAAGCATACTAACTCAGTAGAAATACCCTGAAATTATTTTTTATTTTTTAAACTTTACATGTTTCAACCTTTAGGCCATTTACAAGAGTAACATATTTAACCTCACTTTAAACACAACAAATTGTTAATAAAAAATAATGTAGAAGAATGTATAAATATTTAAATTATAATTAGGTAGGCTAATATATATATTTATATTATAAGGTATTATAAGTACTGTACTTATATATATGTGTGTCCGTTAGCACAATAACTCAAGCAAAAATGATCCGATTTTGATGAAATTTTGTATAAACGTGTAAACCAGCATGATCGGACTATGGGAACGGGGGTTTATGGGGGGTTTTATTGGGTAAAAGTTGGTTTTTCCCATTTTTGACTCTAAAAACACAAAACTTTACAATTTCTTTTCAAACCATTTTGTAGAGCTTAAAAAAACAAATAGACCTAATTTAGTTTATTGAAGCATTAATGTGCGCCTAATGGTTACGGAGAAAATTCTAAAAATAAAATTCCCATGTAATTCTTATGGAGAATAAGTCAACTGTTGTAGTTTGCTTGTTTAAGTATGAACATATTTTGATTGAATTTGGAAAATACATTAATTTCTTATTAAACTATTAACATTTTACGAAATAAAAAACTTTTTACCCTCCCTGTTGCAGCAAACCTAAGTACTCGTTAAACTAATTCTATTTAAATATGGAATGAATGTGATATTTTTAAGGAGACATTTTAGTGTAAATCCAATCAGGCTAGGAAATCCAGTTTGCAGGTTTGCTGCGGCGGGGTATTTACATTATTTTGAATTAGGCCTACATAACAGATGTAGAACGGGTTTGTAAAAAACTCACTGCTTTAAATTCTTAAAAAGAAACCAGCAGGTAAACTGTCTAGTCTATTGTTTACAAACTGAAGCTGATTCATTACTCACATCTATTGGACTTCCCCCTGATAAAAGGAAGACTTATATAGTCATTCGGGACTATTTTTCTTACTTCCAGCCCCATGTTTCCACAAAGCAATGGACAGGCAGAGCAAGCAGTTCAAATTGCTAAAAACATTCTGAAGAAAAATCTAGATCCTTATGAGGGCTTATTAGCATATCGTTCTACTCCACTAAGCTGAGGATACAGTCCTGCTTAGCTTCTTTTTGGTAGGAAAATCAGAAGCATTGTTCCTACTTCAGACAAAACATTGGAGTTGAAGTGGCCAGACTTAAAAAAATATTAAGGCAAGGGACACCTCAGGAAAAGAAAAACTGAAGCGAAACTACCTACCACAAAAGACATCGCGTAAGAGAGCTACAAGTTGTGGTCGCGGGGGAAAAAGTGTGGGTGTCTAACCTGAAGTGATATGGAATAGTGGTTGGAACAAATTCCAACACTAGAGACTACAGTCAATAATGGGAAATTGTACAGAAGAAATAGAGTCTTTTTAGTTCCCACCAACTAGTGATGTAAAATACCCGGGTATTTAAAACTCGGGGCAAATACCCTGGGTAATTACCCGGGTAAATACACAAAATCCATAAATACCCGTGTATTTTGGGTATTTATAAAATCGATTGAAATTAATTTATATTTACCCCTAAATATGTTATTGTTATCATTACATGATAAATTAGGATAGTCTATAACACCTTTTACAGCAACTTGAAGCTTTGCTAAGTAGGCTACCTTTTATTTAGCCTAATGATTTACTGAAGCACTTTAAAAAAAATAATACATAGTTTCCAAAAGGCATGGGGTTTCATGTCTTAAATCGAGTTACATCAGTTAAATTTAACTTACTAAAAATAGTAGGCCTATATTAAAAAAGGTTGTGGCTATTTCAATTTTTATCATTTCATAATTTTTTTCAGTAAATTATTTTTTTTTATTTTTTTAATGATTTTTTGTTCAATTAAATAGCATAAACAAAATTATTTTAATTTATAAATATCCAAATGTTATTAAATTATGATAGTAAAAATTTTTATTGTATTAAATGGCTTGGAAGGCTAGACAGACCTAAGGCTTGATTGACATAGGCAGAATGGCAGAATACTAAAAGTAGTTCAACTTTTCTGTGTTACCGCTTAGTTGGAAACAATAATATATTTGGACAAACCTACAAAAAAAATGTATCTCTTCTTTTTTGGTCTAACTCAATATAATTTCAAAAGATTTATTGTGCTATAGATTCAAATGTTTTGTATCACAAGTTTATGAAATTATTTTTTTTTTAATGTTGATATCATTGATACCAACAAAATATCTAGAACAAAAATATTATTAAATCCTGCCATCCTACAGATTGAATTCTAATTATTTCGGGTACACTTATCTGTTGGCACAAACAACGGAATGAAAATATTGATCGATATATCGAATTTAACAGTCGAATAATCAATATTACTCATTCGGTTGTTTGTGCCAACAGATATGGAAGTGTACCCTTATTTTCTTAAGTTGTTTACACATAGGCCACTACTAGGTTAAATTTTCCTCTTTCTAAATAATAATTACGAGGTGTTAGCCCGTCCTACGTACGGGAGTAGTCAGTTAAAACTGTGTAGGACTATAATTCAGAACAGCTAGTTTAAACGTATAAAGACAAATTTTATTGCAGCCTACAGTAGAAAGAGTAATTATCAATTGAGAAGTGTGTAGGCCTAGTCAATGATAACACCTTCCATCGCATACCTGCCTCTTCCATAATCAATGTCAACACAATACAATTACCCATACTATACACAATTGTCAGTAGGTCTGAATTGAAACTCCCTAAAATAAGACGAAAACATCCAATAAAATTCACAGTACACGTAACTATAACGTTAGTGTCCTGACATCATTAAACGAATCGTCCACACACATCCTTTATGTCAATTTCACTGCATCAATTGCTAAATAAATAAGTGTAAACAAAGAAAAGTAAACACAACAACATATTAGTTTGTTTGGTAAACAGCTGAGTAAAAAATAAAATAATATTCATTTGAACAAAATAACTGGTCACATGTTGAAGAAATTTAAAAAGTAAAAACGTTAGTAAAGCTAGTGACGTAATTAATTGTCTATGTTTATTATCCATATCGTTTTCAGTTCTAATATCCTTGATAATTAAACCACCCTCATTGAATCAATGTACATTGTAATTCCCGATATTCATTTATTTAAACTATACCTCCAAACGTAACCACAACTAAACACACGCCAAACAACTTTTTAGATTTCATAAAAGGATGGTTAGTCTAATTGCAGTATCCTAGGTCAATGATGACGTTGTGTTCAATCTATGTCATTCATCTGTATATCTTTGTATAAAACCCGGCTGAGGTTGTGGTGGTAATTTAAAATCGTGATTCCTGATTATTCTTGATCTTCTTTTTATGACATCAATATTTCCAGGCCTAATCCAAACTTAGTTAAAGCAGATAAACATTAATTGTAAACAAAAAGCTACCATGAGGAATTAAAACATCTAAACTTTGTTATTTTTCTAATCTTTCCTTGAAAAGTGGAGCAGTAAAATAATTTGCATTTACCCTTTTTTATTATGACCCGTGTACAGGCCTCGATTTGTACTGTGGTTTAATTAATTTTGGTTAAAACTGTGGTTTAAACTGTGGTCTAATTATCTCTACTAATCTTACTTATTTCCTATAATCAATGACAAAAATAAAATAACCTCATAGTTCCATAGTTTATATTTAACCAGATGTTAGTTAAAACAAATTATATTGCTCTAAAACAAATCGAAGATTACAATGATTACTTAAAAAAATAATTTGAACATTCTAGTATTTTACTATGTATATTTAATTAATCTGTCATCCTCTTACAGAAGAATTAAACGTATCAATGATTAGCATTACACATAGTATAAATAAGTCAACCCTAAGTAGGCCTATGTCTTTACATTTTTATCCAAACGCTGAATTTGTGACACAAAAGCTGAATGTTTACAGCTGTTATGTTAAGCAAATTATTTTATGCCAAAAGCTAGTTTAGAATCTTAGCGTCGGCTGCTAGACTTTTTAAAAATTAAAACTTAATTTCTAAAAAACTGGGATCCTAAACTAAAATTATGGCTTCGACATTCCCTAGTTCTCAAAATTATCTTTCTTTCAACACAAAAATCATGAAAATCTGTCAAGTGGTTGATTCAGAATCGTGAAATAAAAAACACTGTTTCGTTTTAATATTATAGATTACTTTACAAATTATTTTTCTTCACTTTCAATAAAATAAATTCATCGTTCTATCAAATTCATAAGTATAAAAATCATAAGTAGTCAGGACCAGTGCAACCATGCGACCAAGGTATTTATGCCGATTATGCTTTAGGCTGAGACCTGGGTTTTTATGGTGATTATAACCAGAAGTAAAATGCTAGTAGTGACCATATGAAATTTTGTTTAACACATTTTATCATCATTTTACTATCCTTCCAGGGTAATAATTGCAAAAAAACATCTCAATCTTCTCTAACTTTAATAAATATTATAAAACCGAGTTTTTGGGTATTTACCCGGGCCTGGGGTAAATACCCGGGAATTTATATTTACCTACCCGGTGGGTATTTACCAGGCCCACATCACTACCACCAACAGTAGATTCCAAACACGTGAACAGGGAAAATAAATTTTAAAAAAAGAGAAAGGGAAGGTGTAGTGACAGCTGGTTTAATATTTTTCATTTAATTTGCTAACACATGTTATGATTATTGTTTGTTGTTTATGTTTAAGTTTTTACCTAACTTAGTTACTGAAATAAAAGGTTGTACATTTTTTTGTGACATATTATTTGGCACCGCTACAGAATGCGCACCACAGGCTCTTAAAATTTCAATGTTATCCTTATGGAAGCAGTATTTGACACTGCTAAAAGCATAAGATCAGATGTTGACTTAAAGGAATTATTGAATAGCTCTGTGTGGGCAGAGACTGCTAGCAATGATCGACTAACGCTCAGGGCCGTCCGAAGGGGGCGGCAACCGGGGCAGGCTGCCCCCCGTGGCTGAGGGGGCGCCGCGCAGCAGCTATTTGTATTAACATCGTATTAAAATATGCGAATGCGACTATTACTGCTGGGGCTAGGGGGCGCCACGACCACGTTTGCTCCGGGCGCCGCCAACCCTAGGGACGACCCTGCTAACGCTTGTACGGTACCCTAAGTCAAGCGAAACCAGACATTACCAAGAAAGATTAGGCCTCTAAGTGTTTGGTGATCTTATTGTATATCTACGTGTGGTGATATGGCTCAGCTACTATCGGTGCAGGATCGAGCTTTATTCATGCCATATTATCTTTCAAATCAGTGGTAAGCCTATACAAATAGATGTTTTGCATACAAACACATTCAAAACAATTTTCAACTAAAAACTATCATGCACCAATCCGGCAAAGATCAGTCATTTTCGTATTGCTCTTTAAGTACTAATATTACTCATGGAACCATAAAAGAGGAAGATTACAGTATACATATTCTTTTCTATACGATGCATGTAAATAATACAAAAAAAAATTGTAGAAATATGCAAGACTGTTTCAGTGGCGTAACAGAAGGGCCCGCAATACAGGGAGCACACTAAACAGCGAGTAGAGGCCTGTGAGACGAGTGGGACCGAAAAATGTGAGTTCATTCTTATTGAAACGTATTGGGACTGAAAAAATCGGTTACGCCACTGCGCTGTTCGTATCATGGCAAGAGAAGAAGAGGCGCTTTTGTGGCTACTGTCACCCTTAATGAGAGTTGGCTATCTAGTAGGATGCTAAAAGTATCTAACTTAGACAGCCTAAGTTATTTAAACCACATACAGGTAACTTACGTACCTACTAAGAGACCATACCTGTTAAGTCATAACTTATACCGTAGGTCTAGTCCAAACTGAGTTAGGTACCTCTCCAAATAATTAAAGACTTAGCCTAACTTATGAATTTGATTTTGATGACAGTTTAAAGTTAAAAAATACTGTAAAAAGCATTCACTCACTTGCGACACAGAAAACATACTACTATAACCTAGAATGCCAACCGCATAGTAACAAGCAAGTACTTTGAGAGAGCTTTGCCTGTCAGTTCAAAGGCAGCGCCACCAGCGTTGCCAGGCACTCAGCATAGCAACGCTGGTGGCGCTGCCTACGAATTGACAGGCAAAGCTCTCTCAAAGTACTTAACGCTTTTTACTATGCGGTTGGCATTCTAGAAGGGGCAAAAAAATGAGCAATGTTTGGTGATTTTCGTATTTTCTCCCAGATTTCATTCTTGTAATTTCTCTTTATTTAGGCCTAAGTTAAGTTACTCACTATGACTGGTAACGTAAAAACTGGATAAAAACACACAGTTTCTATTAATTCCCCTCTAGATCCATCACACAACACTAGTCAACACGGAGCAGGTGAGAAATGCGACGCAGGCACTTGTGTCTCGGCCACAAGTGCGCGCAGTTCACGTGCGGGACAGCACTGTATCCTGCACTGCGCTGCGCCACAATATGCGCGCGCACTAGGGAAAACAAAAAAATGCCGTCCTGTGCTGCGCTGCACTGCTTTGACTGCGTCTCAATATGCGCCAGGCCTTGGTGATAGGCCTACAATTGGGATGCAAAGGACAGTACAGTGTCAATAGCCCTATGCCTTTAACTTAAATATAAGTTAAGTTACTGCTAACTCAATTATATAGTAAATAGACCTAATGTAGGCCTATGTGCAATGAACTGTGATATGACAAGGACTGTGTTCTCCTGATTTCAATTTACTTAAGTTGAGTGATGCCCAAAAATATTTAAGTTATCATAGGCCTACTGTACTATGTAAACCCAACATAAGTTTATGGCCTAACTTAGGCCAACCTAACTTATTTTGGGAAATTATTTGCACCATTACCTATTTTCAGCTAAAAATCTTAGTTTCTGGTGAATCTACATAGGTTCCCAAGGTCACGTAAGTCACAATAAGGCTTTTAGTTTCCAAGTTTAAGTTAGGATTAGGCTATTAACTAACATACATTTTATTTAGAGTAGGCCTATGCTTCTTATCACTTTCCCAAAAAACGTACATAGGCCTAGGCCTATTGACTAGCCTAACTTGGGCTGAAAAAAAAAAACAATAAAACTAGGCCTAGCTTAACCCGGTGAAACCCCTATCATATTGCATTGAAAAAACACTTCATAAGTTAACAGACCATATTTTGTATACATTAGGCCTAGAACAAAATTAAATGCATTTTGAAATGTCCCACTCACCTAAAGGGAAGGGTGGATTTAGTTTTTCAAGTTGAAATAACCGTTGTATCTCTACATTCACTGTTTGTAAAAATTTAAATTAACTGAACTATGACAAGTTTAGTTGTGAACAAACGTATGCAGTAAACTAAAATACGATTCTTAAATAGTAAAAAGAAATTTTGATATCGGACCGCTCAGTTAGTAAACGTTGCCGTTAACTTGGAAATTTCAAATCGTAAAAGTAAAGTAACTGAAAGAAAAAGAAAGACACAGGGAGTACAGCAGCAAGAGCAAAGAGCAAGTAGCGACAGGACAGATGCAGATGGTGAGTGGTGAGGTGAATTGGTATTTTCGGTGATCGTCCGATGGTTGGTGCCTGGTGGTTGGTTGAAGAAGAAGAAGGGGGACAGCTCACTTACTCTACAGATCATAGACTATACGAGCTTTTTAAATAATATTGAAGGTTCACTTGCACTACAGGCTCGTATACTATACGAGCCTATCGAAAATAAAAAATAAATGAAGAGGGTTCACTTACTCTACGAATCATTGTGCCTATGAGCCTCGTGTATTATATTTAAAAATACAGTAGGAAGGTTCGCTTACTCTACAGATCATAGTGACTATGAGCCAAGCTTACGAATTATTTGATAATTTAGGAATCGGCTCGTATAGTATACGAGCCAAAATAATGGATAATATAAATTATAGGAATAGGCTCGTATACTATACGAGCCTGCAGAAAAATATTAGATGGCTCACTTACTCTACAGTTCATTGGCACTATGATCCGTAGAGTAAGTGAACCCTCTTCAAAATATTAGATGGCTCACTTACTCTACGGCTCATTTAGCTACTCGTTGCGCGGTTTGCGTTCGTGAAACTTTAGGCGCTATGCCCGGATTCGACTGCTGCGACTGCCTACATAAGTGTATTGCATCACCTCAATTATTTATTAAAACGAAATAAATATGTATGCACAAGTAAATTTATTACATTTTTGGACTGAATACTTTAAAAATGGAGGGAGCATGACTTTTATGTTTAATTAAGTTAAACGTTATAGAATAAAACATATTTTGACTAATATCAGGTTATATAATACACACTTGTATGATCCAGATACAGAGCTACAGACAAAACCTGTGGTCCGATTTAGATTAAATTTTGTATCTGGATTTATCCACGAGTCACTAATTTTTTAAGCACGGGTTGAGAAATAATGGCAAAAATTTATAAAAACAGTTCACCAGTTTAGAATATTTCTCAGTTACTGTGAGTTGAAAAAAAAAGTGTATACAGAAGCATTTGTGTACACAGAAAATATAGAGGACTAGATGTATACAGAAGATATATTAAAATACAATACGCACACAACTATCAACGTTTACATATGTAAAATCATAGACAAATAGAATAAATATTTGTCAATGGTAAAATTAATGAATTTGTTGTATTGAGTATTTTTAACATTATGACGAAGCCTTAACAAAACATATTTTTTTTTTAAGGAGTTCTAGGGTGTTGAACTATATTGTACTTATCTTTTGTGGAAGATTCTGTCCACGATTTATGATTGCTAACAATTTAATACAAAGATTTAAGTCTCTGTACGTGAAGACTAAAAACACGAAACAAACTTTAAAGTGATAGAAAAGATTTGATCAGGAGCTGGCGTTTGATACCTTTTGGGAATAAATATAGCCTCTACTTCAAAGGTATACATGGTGAGGTAGCCTCTGGAAGTCCATCTTCAGGTTAACTAAAACGTCAATAGGTCATCTAACCAATTTGGTTAGATGACCTATTGACGTTTTCTGAAGACTTATTTTCAAGTCCGAAACTATAGTAGGTAGTGTAATACTGAAGAAGGATCACTTGACGAAGCCAGGTAACTTAAACCATTTAGCTTAAAGTTATACAAGTTGGTTTCACACCAACATTTCATGCACATATGAAATCTATATAATTAATACGCGAACACGAAGTTTGTCGGTTGAATCCTCGACCATTTCTTAACCGATTTTATCCACTGACGTCTCATTGGAAAGAGCGTGTTGCGTAGATTTGCAAACTGGCCTAATTTTTTTTGAAAAAGTCCCTTGGCCTCTGCCACAGTGGCTTTTTAAGTTCCCATGTTATCCTTTCGAAGAACATAATATTGTTTACATCAGCTGTTTAATTTAATTGTGTTCTTTGTTTTTCAATTCAACGAAACGCATTGGTTACATTAACTGATTTTGTGGAAATTAAATATCTATATCTATATATTAATTACGAAAGCCGATTCTTTGCGTCAAAATTGTGGGCGACTGGGTAGTCGTAGAACGACGGGAGAGGGTTCAAATTAAAGGTCTCGATCCCGGAAAAATAGTGAAATTCCCCAAATTTTAACACAAAATTTGATAAAACCTTTGACTTAGTCAATAATATAACGTAAAATGTTCTCCATAAGAATAGCATTAGAAGCCATTTGTCTGTTGATTTTTGTTTACCTCAATACAGCTGATCGTGATTCATCTAAGCCAGTAAGCAATATTACATTTGGATTTAACTCATTTGCCAGTAAATTCTGCAATGTACTGTATACTATATAAAACCAGGGATGACGTTACCTACAATTGAGACTTTTGTCGTTATGTCTTAGAATGTTGAAATTAATTTTACTGTGCAATTTGCAAATTTGTGTATTTGTATGTAAATTAGCCAAGCGCATGAAATTTAGTAGAATCGTGGGAGATGGTTAAAATCAAAGTAAATGGAAGTAGAATGGCTGGAACATTTAAGATTTGGTTTCTTTAAACATATGTTCATGAAGTTTACAAAATTATTTTACTTTGATTACATTTCTTCACATTAGTAGGTTATTGTTGTGCTGAAGGAATGTTTAACATGAAATAGCCCCATTGACTAAATAATCAACGATGCAAGATTAGTTAGAAAACTTCTGTTTTGTTTTTATTTCAAAACATATGTTGAAAATTTATTCAAAACTTTTGTTTTAAATTTCATAACATTTAATTTGACACGTAATTGTAGTGTTTAATCTATGATTTTATCGAGTGGAATAACCTTAACAGTTACTCTAGAGAATAACCTGGGAATAAAATTTGAAATAGGTTTGTACAGGCAATACATATATTCCTTTCATTAATTACTATAACAAATTCCAATGGGCGGAAAAATAAAATTGTCTGGAGTAGATTTTAACCAGGTATCTACTGTCTGTTGCTCCAAGGAAAAAAGGTTAAAATAATATAGCCCAACATGCATTGTATATATATACAATCTATATAGATAGTAAAGATAGAATATATAACAGTAAACCCTGGAGGTAGTTTCCGATTCTTTATGTTTCACTAACCAAAAATATGTACCTATATCAATGCTGATGAATTTGTTTTCTTGATTGGTTCCATTAACATGATAATGGAACCCTAACCAATGGCAAGTAATCAGTCGATGATTCGCTTTTTTAACTGTAGGCTAAATAAATAATATAAACGGTAAAATGTTTTCAAACAAAATTTACATCCATTGAATGAAAAATAATATACTATTAACATGACTATAGCTGATATGGCTTAGCTGTCGGCTATCTGTACATTGCATCATAACATCAGACAGCGCTGTGTTATTAACTTAAAAATTATAACGGATTAGCAAATAAATACTTTACTATGGTCTTAACAAACTATGAACCCATTGAACGTTTAAATTGGCCTATTTTAAAGAGTGTATAAAATCAACCACAGCTTTAGGAGGAATACCACCACATAAGCTGACACAGAGAGTAGTTTATATTTTATGTTGATCAGAAACGAAACTATAATCAACTATAACTATCAACTATAACTTATAGGGCAGCCTTTACACTAATTCAGTTGTGCCTTTACAAAAGGAGTAGAGCTATAATATTAGAAATAATAACTGGGCCAGGGTACTAATATGAGTACATGTAGTATTGTAGCACTGTATCGATTCTGACACATAGATAATTTTATTCTGAGTTTGTTTAAATATTACAATAGTTTGTTTTACATTTGAGCTTTTTAGGGACTTATGTCCCTACAAGCCACTAGTTTATCAATATAAAGCCCAAAGTACACATGAACCTTTGTGAAAACTACAAGTCATACCCCCATAAACCATATACTTAAAATGTTCGTCATGACGAGAAAACTAGCGCAAAACTATCCATTATTTCATAAACTGCCCTTAAAGGTCGTAATTGCTTTCCAAGGATACATAGGAAAGTCATAGAACGCCACCAAGTAGCAGAAATCGAGATTTTTTAAAAATATTATCGTTATCATCCTATATAAAAGAAGAACACCTACAATATGAAGATTATCCCACAAACAATGAACAAGGATGTTATCGGAAGTGCTACTATTTTGTAGGAAACACGGACTTAACTTTATGATGATTTGCAAAGGAAACCCCTCTAAGGCTGAATTAAACTGGTACGGCAAGGACATTATATATGTTTTCATAAAAGTCAAGTGATTTTAAAATAATATGACTACATCCAAGAAACCTTATTAAAACTTGCATCGAAGGATTCGCATTATTCACATTCAAGGGAAACAAAAACCCATCTGAACAACAGTAGGCCTTACAATTCTGCATATTTTCAGGTAAATATAACTTACGTTGTAACAGTAACTAGCCAAATTAATGCCAATTGAGGCAAATAAAATTGTGACAGAGAGGTTATGCAGAAAATCAGGCAGTTCTTAAGTACCTATTGTAAACAAAATTGTATCTCTATAAAAAAATTACTGAAATTTGTACTGGTGACAATGGGTAGTACCATGCTGACTACGTTATCATTGACGAAGATCAACATGGACTACCTAATGTGGCTATAACTGGGAAATATTTGTAGAATACACTAAAAACCAGATCAGCTTTTGAAAAATGGTAAAATATTTACAAGAAATGTTTAGGCTATTATATGGAAATGTTAGGTACGTTCCATCTATGAGTTTAGTCTTTTAAACTCATCGGAAATTATTACTTTTATTCGTTTTTAAATAAGTTAATAATTGTTTTTAAATAACTACTTTACTTCTTTGCAATTGCTTGATTTAGAGCAACATGTACACTAGTCGTTAATTATACTAGCACATTTTTGACGTGAGATAATAGCACGTTTGAAAAACAATGCTAATGACATCAATACACACAGTAGGAATTTATTCGATAAGAAAACTCCTTAAACGATCTATTTTTAGCCTTTAAATACTACCCTGTGTACGCCACTATCTGCCCTGTA